TGTGGCAATATCCCAAGGAGGAGAAGAACCTCACTCCTGCTGAGGTTCTGGAAACCAAGAGATGATGGCTGTGCTAAGGCAGTTTGCTAAGAGTTAAATACAATGTGCTAGGGTTGGCAGCAGAGAAATGATTGGCCTGGGAAAATCTTCTGTAGGGCTGCAGGGTCTGGTTGGAATGAAGAGGATCATCATGATGCTACCTGCAGTGCAGGGGCTCCAGGTGAGCGCAGTGTAATGGGGAAGCAGAGAGGGGTGACAGGATTTAGGAACAGATTAATCTAGATCTTGGATGGAGGTGGTGGCAATTGAAAGGAAAAATTAAAAATAAAAAAAATAGTTGGCATGGACTGTTAGGCTAGGGACAGATGGCTGGTGCTCAGGGACTTGCAGGAGGTATGGAAGGAGGTGTATCCAAGCTGCTCCAGGAAAAAGAGTTGGACTAGTGCAAAATATTAGAGCCAATGGTGTGCAGCAGCAGTTGCTTAGTGTCATCCAGTGGGGTAGATTGATTTACATCTCTGCATTAGATCACTGTTTTCAATTGTGATTTAAATGAGCAAGCATGAAATCTGATTTAAGTTGACTTATCAAATTTTACATGTGTTCTTTGGTTACCTTTCTAAAAGCCTTAGTGTGTATTCTGTACCACCACAGCTACTCTTAGCTAACAGAGTGAATATGTCTTTGTATTTATACAAATATGCAGTTTGCCATTTGCTTTGCTTAATGTATTTTTTTTCCATTTTCTGTTAAAAAATGATGAGTGGTGTTTTTCTTATTTGCTTGATTAATTTTTAACTTCTGATTTTCATCAGGCAACATTTGGATGGAAATTGGAATCTAATTAATGAACAAAACCAGCATTTAAAATTGTTTTCATTAGTTAAATATTCTGGATATAGACAAAAATTCCTTATCAAGCCTGTTTTGTGACTGAAGCAGACTGATTTTTGTAGAAACAAAGCAAGTATTATTAGCTGTTTATGAACTGAATTAATTGTTTCTTGTCTCCATGCTCTCGAAGAATCTGTTTCTTATATCTAAAAAAAATCTCTGTTTCTGGAACTCTTCTTGGAATTAAAAATCCCGAAACAAAACCACAAAAAACCAACCTACCCCAAAACAACCTAGATTTTCCATCTGTGTGAACACTGCAGTGTCATCTGTGTGCCACAGCTACACAAGACAAACTTTTCTGGTTAGGGTGGACTACTCATGAGTTCATATCGCAAATATTGCTGGGGCAGAAGAGGTGATCTGTGCATCACAGATACTGGGATGTGGTTACTTGCAAATTAGGGTGGATGTATGGACTATATTTGGTGAAGCTAAGTTACTACTTTTAGAAGATTTTCTTTCCACGTTTCTGTCAGTTCCCAGGGTTGGGCTGGCTTTGAATAAAATATTTTCTTATGTGTGGGGGAAAATAAAGTGAATGGAGAAGAGGAGAAAATTGTACAGGAGACCTTACTGTTGTTAAAAATACATACACATGTATATTTTAGTTTTTAAATTTTAAGTATATGTTTAAACAAGCTTGGCTTTGTTAAGGCAGTGAACATTGAAGCTCAGATTTCACAGAGTGGGAAATCAGTTCCCTAAATTTAGTGCTTCTAACATATGTTTAAGATCTAGGAATCTATTTCTGATATAACTCATGCTAGGAGTTCCTGGAAAGCTCTCTGACTTATGTGGCATGGCATGGGTAAGATTAAATTATAGCTGATTTTCTTCCATTCTAAGATCCCCAGAAGCATCTGTAAGATTGATGGGCGGTACAGTCATTGCATTATATTTGGATGTGTTTCTTTTGCAGGAGAGTCTTCCAGTAAATACAAAAGAATTTAAAAATTATTGTGGGTAAGGAGGTGGATGGAAAATAATTTGAACTTGGTGTTATGATGCTCTAGCTTTAGCTAGACTTGGTTTCTGCCAGAAGAAAAAAGAAAGAGATACAGTGGGTTTTTTCTAGTGGTTAAAAATCAGTGTGGGTAAAGAAATGGATATGATTTCTCTAAATCCGGTATCATGTTATACTGGAGATGAATTTGGTTATACATTGTGCCAATGTGCTTCTCCAGACAAGAATTTGAAAAATGAGTATATGAACATTTCAGTATCACCACATTCTCTGCTGTTCTTTAGTAAACATATATCACTATTACACCAAAATACAAGTTTAATGTTAAAGATCCTCAGTCACATAAAAAATAACAAAATCCTTTAGGAGAAAGAGAAGTTGAAATGTATCAACAAGTCAAAAGGAGAGATGGGGAAGAATGCTACAGTGGGCTGACTGTACAGTTAGAAAGGCACATGTGCATCTTCTGTCTTTCATTGCCTTTGCCCATGTTTCATGTTTGAGGGTGAGGCAGCAGAAAAGAATTTCAGTGGTAAGTTGAATCTAGTAAAGAATGTGCCCTGAAATTAAGCTTTGGGAAGAAGAGGGGGAAACTGTGCTGCAGACAGATGGGCAACAGAGGGAAGGAAGGAAATATATGCAAACAAAAATAATGAAGTTTGATTTGTTTCCATGGTACAGAAATGTGGCTGGAGGTGGGTTTAGGTAGAAGCTGCTTAAATTCTTGAAACCCAAGTCAAGTTACACATTTGATTTGCAGCACTGTTGTGCAAACTAGCTGGAAGGTCTGTGTGTGTTAGCTCAAAGTTTAGCTGGAAGACGGTGGCTGGAGTTGCATGTGGAACGGAGAACTTCAGCAGTGGACTTCTGCAGGAGCTGAAGCATGTGTGGACAACTGAAGGTAGGGCACAAGGAGATGAGTGAGGAAGTGAGGTGGCTAAGCTGTCTGGATTGGAATGAGGGGTTGCTTCTACACCCAATGCATTTAGTATAGGTCCTTGCAACAAAACTGGAAAAAAACAAATGCCTCATGAACTTGTAACCATTTAGAAAGAGTTCTCTGAAGTGGTAAGATTGAGCGAGTACCTACAGTAGCATTTCCAAATTACTGGAAATCTTGTTGGATTCCCAGTGAACATGTAAAAGGACTTACTATGACAACACTCAGGATGTTTGTAATAGGAGGGGAAAATGAGTAATCTTCTGGAAAGTCTTTTTAACATATATACTGAAGTGACTGATATCTTTCACTACAAATATGTAGTTTTAGGGTGTAGTTTTGAGATCATTTTAAACTGATCTGTAGGCAGATTAGAAGGGGTGCTCCCACCTTTTCCCATTCCCTGACCTAATTGTTGTTTCTTCCTCCCTTGATCCTGACTGCTGCTTGTGTGGCTCTCTGGTTATTCAGGTCAGGAACACACTGCCCGTCTTAAAAATTGTCTGAATCTGCAATCCTGCTGGCCACAAAACACACAGGGCAGTGGGGAGGCTGGGTGTGGAGGGCTGCATCCAGGGAAAACAGGGACTTAAACCAGCATGAAATGACTGTGAATCCTAATACCTTGTAAGTGTGAAAACACAGGGTAAATTGTGCAACTGTTGTAATCACCTGAAGCGACTGGCAGAATGTGTTTCTATTTTCAATATCCTATTTTGGGGTTTCTTCACCTGGTACATGGAGCTGTGCCTGGAATTTGTTTCCCCTGAGGTTACAGTTGACTTGTGTTTACCAAAAATGAAGTGGTAGAACTTGGAAACAAGCATTTTGTTCTGATTAGTTTATGGTTAATGCAGTTGGGCTTCACTTCCAGTTGAAAGAAGTTACTGAAACTTTAAGTGGGAGATAGTGTTCTTAGGATTGCAGCTGCTTTTTGCTTTGTGTTGAATATAGCGTGGTTTTTTTCCAAAAATGTCATGGAAAAAGCTGCTTTGGTGAGCTTCTGTACCTGGGTCTGTATCCCTACCAAAATATACAAGCGAGCAAAGCTAGATGAGTGTGGTTGGTCCCATGTGCACTGTTTGCTGGTGCTTGGTGCTGGTCTGCGCTGGGGCACTGAGAAAGCAAGGATGAGAACGTCTGCGTTGTCTTAAAAGACCTTGGCACAAAAAGGGCTTGTTGGCTTTTGTCTTGTTGAGGATGAGCAAAACAGATTTTGAAAATACATAAGAGGGCTACACAGAGGAAGAAATGCTTTAAAAGAGGAGATGTAATGTCTTAAATACCTCCTAGTTCAAAGAAAGGTTTGTGTGAAATGATTTTGAGAGGTAACCCTGACATAAGTAGATGGATTAGTGGTAGCATAGTCCATACTCGTTAATCTGAGACAGGCTCTTCTGAGGCTGCTAAAATAGTTATGATTTACTGTGGCATATGTAACCCTGCTGCTTGATCATGGCTATGCAGCCTGTAGAGAGGATCTCGAGTATTATGTTGTGCTTTCCAGCTGGGATGTCTGCTTGAAAGCAATAGGAAGATGCAGTGATGCCTGATACCCAGTGGGTGCAGTGGTAGGGTCCTCTTGCTTTTAAGAACTCCTAATGTGGTGTTTAATTTACTAGCCTGCGTGAGGACTGCTGCCAAGGCTCCAACTGTTGCATAATGTTACACAGGAGGAATCACTGGCAGATTTCAAGCTGGCTATCATTCCAGATCACTCCCACACAGAGGAAATTGTAGCATATATGTAACTCTGAGGCTTTTTGTGGCACTCAGCACAATCTAAAATTAAAAATGTAACTAGGAAAACTATAAAGCTTGCCTAGTCAGTCTGTAGCCCCTCTGCTTGTAGTAGCCTCACCTGCAGAGTCTTGCATGTGGAAGAGAATTCAGACAGCAACAGGTAAGAGCGAAAGCCTTGCAAAGAAGCAAAACCTCAATTGTTTTTTAAAGCTCTAAGCATTAAAATTACGAGTATTTTATACAAGATGAAAGAATCCTCTTTTGGCTCAAACTGTATATCATGTTCTGTGAATTCTGTGATTCCCAGAAAAAGCCAGACCCTTAATATTCAGACATCACAGGGGGAAATAAGATTTCCCCCTCATTTCCATGCATGCCTGTTCCATACCCGTTTTCTTGTCAGTCTGATTCATAATGTTCAAAAACATTCACTGCATTTTTCCTTCTTCCCCACAGCAACAGCCTGAGTCTGAGACTGTTCATCTGTTCATCCCAGCCTTGGCAGTTGGAGCTATTATTGGCAAGCAGGGACAGCACATCAAACAACTTTCTCGTTTTGCAGGCGCATCTATTAAGGTATTATTACACTGACTATAACTTTGTCTATTCTACATGACACTTCTAGCAAGTTTGCACAAGCCGTGCTTTCGTGAACATCCTCCCCAACTCCGTGCTTAGAATGTGATGTGTGATAAATGGTACATTTGTTTATAAATCATCTTTTAATCTTCCTTAAGACAAGATAATTAGAAGCATGTTTTCAAACGTCTCCTGAGGTGTGAAATATAAGCTGCAAAGAAAACTACTTTGGTGGTCTCGATTTCTTAGAAACAGACTTGCGTCTTAATGATGCAGTGCTTAAAGGCTTTCTTCTTTTGGTACAGTGAAAATTGGTGAGGTAAATTCCCCTTCTAAAAACAGCAGCACAGGTGAAGTTTCCTACTGCTCTGCCTGCTCTGTTCCAGATGGATCAGTCTGGGCTGTCAAGCTCAGATGGCTCCACGCTGAAGTGTTCACTTTTTAGCATCATCCATGTGCTCCAAGCTCCTGGGGTCAGTCAGTTCTGTAACATCATGTTTACCTTGTTACCCAGGTTTAACATCCAGCTGTTTGTGTACTGACATTCCATGTACAAGATGTTTTGCAGAGGTTGACCTCTTGGTGAAATCCATCTTGAGTGTTGTTAGGGGTTGGTACCAGTCACAGTTGTAGGAAGGCCTTGGCTTTCTGCTACTTATGCCGTTGTAACCACATGTATCCTCTCTAAACACCTGAGCATTTTTTTCTTTTAATTAGGCTATTCTGCTATTCTGTGCTGTAAAAATAATGTTTTGGCCTAAATAAAAAAAAAAAAAAAATAAAATTAGAAGTACAGTGTTTAGCTATATGTGCTGTTAGATTGACGTTTTCCTGCACAGGTAAAGCAAAGATTTTCTTCTCAGCTCTTTGTTTTTGCTCAGGAGATGTGGCCTGTGTAGCAAGTGCTATGGCAGGGAGCTGCCAGAAGTCCAGGGGCAGAGGAGCACGAGTTGAGTTGAGCTTGGTGAAGCCAGTGAGGCGGGCTTGGCTTGGAAGGTGTTCATCTAAGTGTGCAGAGTGAAGTAATTGGGGAATCCTGATGAATGAGTCTTGTGTGTGGTTTGCTGAATGCCGATCAGTCAACCAACTGATACGCTGCCCAGTTCCATCCTTTTTTTGAGCAGTATATTAAATAGTTGTTATACTACCCAGATGGTTTATGTTACTGGAGCACTAATAATCATATTTTTAGGAGGAAAATGGAATAGAAGACAGTGAGATGTGCGGGTTTTTCTTTATCAAATCTGTCTTGCATGGAGGTGTAATATATCACATGGACTTCCTCTTTCCCTCTCCATTCCCACAGCTTGTATCTAAAGCTTAAGCAGTGTATGGAAGGTACTGCTAGGTGGAGAGAGAAATGTGAAACAACCTGGACCTCCAAGAACCCGTCCAAACTAGTTCTTCAGTTGGTCCTTGAAAGACAATTTAGTGGAAAGGGAGTTTCCAATGTTTCTCATGTACCTGGCTAACAGTGGCCTCAGGCTTCCTCTACTGGCTGGCACCTCTCTACCCAATGCATTTAATAGTTCTGTATTAATTGAAATTCAGTTAAAAGTTTTCTGAAGTTCTGGTCTTTTGTTCCTTGAGTAGCGATAAAATAAAGAAATTTTTGTGAAAATGGGATTAAGTCTTAGCAAAACTATACAGATACAGGGTATGCTTGCTAAATTGGGGAGTTGCATGTATGCTTATCAATTAAAATAAAAACATAACTTCATCTGTAATCTGGCAGAACAATATGGAGCACTATGCTTGCTTCTATGTGAAAGTATTAAATATGACAGTTGGTAAATTATTCAAAGCTCCTGAACTTCCCTCGTGTTGACCACCTGCCCTTTGTCATAACTTTGGAGCAAAATAATACATTGTGAATCAAGGAGTCTGTGCTTTTAGCTAAGAGTTGGAGGGAGTGCTGCCTGAGTAACTTTTAACTTGCCAAGCTGCAGTAATCATACTCTGTGGAGGAAGTATGTCTCTGTGCATAACACTTGTTTTGAGTTGTGCTGTAGCTTGTTACAGCTGAAAACGTTTTACATCCCCATACATCTTCATTGTGCTCATGCTGAGCTTTGTAGGTCTGATGCAATTCTTTAGCTACGAAGTAAGACTAAAACTGCAGGTGCCCAGGGGTTCTGTACAGGGCTGCAGTGTTCAGGCTGTCAATTCAGAGGTGCGTGTGGCTGTTGATGAGCTCAGGTTGTGTCTTTGTGCTGGTGGTCATTGCTTGGCAATGCAGGCTCAGTGTGGGACTCCAGCAGACTCAATTGTTCAGTAAAAGAGCCAGGCAGAGACTTCTGGGCTGTTGTCTGCCCATCCTGTACTACAGCTGGGAACCCATTGTCATCTCCCTAGTTATAAATTCTATCCAGAGTAGCCTTTCGTGATGGAAGGATGACCCTTACAGGTTTTGGGAGTATGAAGTTGTCAGCTTGTGGCTTGGCATATGGAAGATTGGTTGTTTTCTGGTTAGGAATGTAAAATTATTTAATTTCCAAAGTTAAATTCACCACTTCTATACTATTTGTATGTATATAACTACTTCTTCCAAGACCAGATGACAAAATTAACACAGAAGACTCTTAGGTTACCCCTTCAGAAACTGAAATGTTAGTTGATATGTTTCTTTCACAGCCCTCAGCCATGTTTTACCCCAGCTTCTGAGAACAGGACATTCTAAGATAAAAGCAAAGCAGGATATGTCCCAGAACATTTGAACACATGTAAAATATAATGAAGGCTTGATGGAAAATATTTTTCTTCAGATTTCAGTAAAGGTGCTGGTGCTCACTAAGAAAAACATGATGTGACTGAAAGAAAAACTACAGTGTCCACTTTTCATGAATGACAATTCAGACTGAGCTCTGTTCAGTGCCTCTAAATGTGCCTTGAAATTTTGACCCTTTAAAATACTTGTGTTCCAAAGAATGAATGGATTTAGTCTGTGCTTGCTCTTACCACAACGTCATGTCATAAAAATGTACTGCTGTAAAATTAGTGTATTTTTAGATATATCCAATTGGAATGCAGAAATTATGAAAAATAGATATGCAAACCATATCTAATGTAATGATGTAATGCCTTCTCCATCTTAGGGTACAATATGAATAATTTTATAAACTTTCCTTAGCAAAATTCTTTAGTGAAAATGATGCATGATGACTGGTAATTTGTCTGAAATAAACTACAGCTGTTAAATATGAATAACATCCCTATGCCAACAGCTGAGATGAAATTCTGTAGTGTTTAATATATTGCTGATTCAATAAACAGCTATGTAATACTAGATGCAACAATGAAATGTCAGTTGTGATAAACAAAAGATTCATTTGCAATGTCAGAGGCTAGTTTGAATTATTTAATGCCACTGGAGTCTGAGAACAACACCCACAGAAATTTTACTGTTGTGGTGACATGAACTGCTAAAGACCCTACAGGCATCTCTGTCTCAGCTCTGGTGGAGCTTAATTTTTATTTGGGTCACACATGTCTGTAGATACAAACCTCTTGGAAACTGTGAACTCATTGTCCAGTATAGAGGAATGTTTTGGATCCGATTAGTTACAACAGTAAAGTGATCTTCTGTTCTCAGGGTGATGAATGCAACATTTTGCTAATGAGCAAAACTCATTCAAGCTAATGAGTAGGGATGAGAATCTCAGTTTATTAACCATGTTTATCTTTTTGAAGGCTACATGTCTTATATCACTCACAGCCACATGAAAATGGCATGTGGGATTCTGCCATATGTGGATGAATAGCTATGTCTTTAATTTTCAGAAGTAAATTTGCTTATGGTTTACCCAGTTTCTCCATATTACATTATGGCTCATTAATGCACTTTAAAGAGAATAAACCCGTCATGACTGAAGTGTGATGCTGCTGCTGTAACGAATAATTTTTCACTCTTGAACAGAATGTGAGACCGAAATGGGGAGGAGGTGGCTTTAAACTATTCCTTCAAAAGACAGCTACCAAAAGCTATGTTTATCCATTCCAGATTGCCCCTGCTGAAGGACCAGATGCTAAGCTGAGAATGGTTATCATCACTGGACCTCCAGAAGCTCAGTTCAAGGTACAACATATAAAAACTTGTTAATCTGTAGTGGCCTTTGGACCATGAGGTACGATATTGAAAATAAAACACTTGATTCCAAGTGTGCTTTATTCTGAATTTTAGTAAACACTGGGGTTTTGCTTTCGTTTTGCTGAAAAGTGTCTCATAAGAATATGAGTAATACAGTACTATAAGAAGCCACATTCTGATCATCTGAAAACTGGGAGTTTCATGTAAGTAGGAATCGAGTCTAGCAAAAAATATGGCCATATTACATTCCTAATTTTTCCTTTTATCTGCATGCACCATTTAGTTCAGTCTTTTCATTTTGCCTTAATATGTGCGACAGTTTCATGTGCTTAATTGAAATAATAAAGCTGACAAGATGAGAGATTGAGTCTTCCCAGGTTGCTGTTGTATGCCCAATGGAAAATGCTTTTTGGATAGCTCTGTGGATAAATGCAAGATTTCTGATTGTATTTCCACTACAGCTACAGGTTGATAGTCAACCTGATTATCTCATTTTTGTTTAAATTGAGTTCTGGAGTAGCCTTCTTACCCCAAAAGAAGTTGACCAGGATAGGAGTGATGCAAACAGCTCAGTGAAGCAGCCTGGCCTCATCACAGATAAGGCCCAGAGAATACAGAAAGCCACTGAGAGCTTATGTCCGGGCACTGTTCTCTTGCATCTTCTTATTTTTGACTTCATAATTTTGCAAGAAAGAGGTGCACAAACTTCAGAAGTATCTAGAATCAGTTTCGTTAATGCCTTTAGGATTTTTGGAAAAGTATCAGGGCAGGTAACTTTGAAGGTCTGCCTCCACGATGCTTTTTGTGTGCATGTGGGCTTGGCCACGTGGCATATTTTACATATGGGGGTACTCTTGTGATCTGGGATCAGCACAAGGTCAGATACTGGCTACCCTTTCTTTTCATCAGATAGCAGTGGACTTACCCTCTGGGAGTAGCATGCTGAAGGACATTTGGGCATCCCTTAACTTGACTTTTTATGTAGGCAAAGGCTTGTCTTCAGGCTTCCTCGCTAATTAGAGTTCTTCTGGCAGCTCTTCTCTCCAACCTGGATCGTGCAAGGAGAAAAGTCTCCCTTTTCTGCACCCCATACATAAGACTAAAATGACATCAGTCAATCACTTTTCTACACCTGGGCTTTTGTTTGCAAAGGTGGATCAATGTACTAGCACAGTCAATGCTCCTGAGTATGCTAGTCTTGTGAAGGAGAGGGATTAACTCTTGGAGCTTCCTTCAGCTCCAGCCCTTGTAAGTCTTTTAACTACTCTTTGAGCAATGCCCCCTTGACTAAGATGGGCAGAGGCAGAGCTCAGTCCTTCCTTTTATTGCCACTGCTAACCTGAAGCATGCCTTATGGTCAGGACCAAGCCTCATTAGTGCTCTCCTTAAGCTCTGTTTAAGAAGGGTGTTCTTTCTCTTTGAGGGTAGGCTATTGTTTTTTGGGCACCAAGAATGTAAACTGGTGCTCAACAACTTGAAGAGGGAATAGCTGCTGCTCAGGTGAGTAACCAGCTCTTGGAGAGTCAGCGTCATCCTAGAGGCTGAGTTTGGCTTCCTTTCCTTAGTACATTGTGCTCTGCTGTCTGATTTGTGTCTGTGGTGGCCACAACAGCTACGCCCCTTCTTCCTCAGCTGCAGTAGCCTAAGGATGTTGCAGTATGCAGGGCTAGTTATTATCAAGGCAATGGGAAGAGAATATGCCACTGTTTACAGCCTCTGGTGCAGTGCTCCCTAGAGATTAGGCATATCCATTACACCAATATTCAGGGAACAGTGCATTGCCTTGGATTGGGGATGTGCAAGTGAAGTGGAATCTCGTACTTCAGCTGCCATTTTGCTGTGAAGCAGCTGCAGCCTTAAAGACTTTTCAAGAGCTGAAAGATTTGGGACGTTGGAAGAACATCTACAACCCTTTAAAAGTCCACATCCCACCTTGCTTTATAATTCAGCAGTAATGTGTGTTCTTTTGAAGCGCAGAAGAAGATCTGGTTACCATTTCTCAAGAACTTACTCATGAATGGCAGGGAATAAGGAAATAAATATATTTAAAAATCAGCAAGATTTACAAGCTTAGTCTTGATGGACATTCTTCTTGTTACCTGACATTTCTGTGTTTCCGAGAAAAAGGAACTATGTGCTGGTTGGAGTAATACTGTTCCTGTGGTACTATTTAGATCTAGGCAGATAGATTTTTCACTTTAGAAAATTGAGCAAGTTCAGGTTTATTTATTTTTAAACAATATGTTGTAATGGATTGTAAAAGCAAGCTGTTTGTGCTAATTGAAGTCTTTATCCCATGACTTGTTGGGGGTGTTGTGGCTTTTTTTGTTTAGCATCCTTAAAAGAATGGGTTACTGAGTCAATTAATTGCATTCTGTGCTTCTGGGTGCAATAAAAAAGCTTCAGCTAGACAGTTGCTCTCTCTACCACTCTTTACCTCTACAGAAGTGCAATAGTTTCTTTTAAAAGCAATATTTCTACTGAATAGCAGAATAATGATTCCTTTTAAAATGTTGTTTGATTCCCTGGTTTGTCATGCAGTCTTTAAAGCTGGACAGTGGTGCTTCCTAGTTTGGTACAATAACTTCTTTTAGAAAAATAATGTATTTATTAGGGAAAACACTGTGTCAGGATTGCGTACTGAGAACCTTTCTGTGGAATTTCTTGATGTTAACTAGATCCCAATAAGCACATTCTCTAACTGAAAGCGTTTTTGCAGGCTCAAGGGAGAATCTATGGAAAACTTAAAGAAGAAAATTTCTTTGGACCTAAAGAAGAAGTAAAACTTGAGGCTCATATAAAAGTGCCATCCTATGCTGCTGGTAGAGTTATTGGTAAAGGAGGCAAAACAGTAAGTAGCTGAAATAAAACTTTTAATATTGCTCAGTTACGTTTCTTACTTCAGTGTACACATACACACATATATATATACATAAGACTTAAACTTTTGGCTAATCCTTTGACGTTACATTAAAGCAGGAGCTATTTCCTTAGCTGTACTTGTTAGGCTTTCCTTTCTTCTAGTGTGGATTCAAAAGAAGCCAATCTCAGAATGATTTCTTTTATCTAAAAAAAGGCAGGGAAAAAAAGAAATAAATAGTCTAACGAAAATCGATAGCCCCAGTCAGATCTGCAGGGCTTTTATTAGTAGAAATGTAGTTCTTCCATTTAGAATGAATACGTTCCCATTCAAGATCTGCTTTTGTGAACCTTGGCTTATGTGCCAGATTTTGCTGTCCAAAACTGAGTGAAAACATAATTTCTAAACAAGTGGTAGGAAATTAAGACATGTTCAGACCTCAGTAGTACAAAGAACCCTGTGTCTACTTTTGTTTCAGTTTAATTGGTGGCATTTCTTAGGCTTAGTTTATTGTATAAAATAACATCACTGAAATTTTTCACTCACGAAAAGGTGCTGGTGCTCTAGTATTTTCATATGGTTATTAGTCAGGAGCTAGATGATATTTGCAAAGAAATGGTTCAGTCTTGTGTGTCCATCCTGGAGTACAATGAGGTCTTTAAGTTCAGTGTCAGAAGACAATGTGGCCGCTTCCATTACTTGCAGTGGTAAGAGGCTTAAGGACAAACACGTCTGAGAAGCTGTTCATCTAAAACATTTTTAATAAAATAATGCTGTGCATTTCTAAAATAAAATGAGTGTAAATGGGACAAAGGCTTTAACCTTACCTGTACTTAACACTATAGAAGCCAATAAGCTACTGAAAATAATTTGAACAATTAGAACTTCTCATTGTTCTGTTTGAAGTTCTCCATCTTGTGGAGGTTTTTCGAGGCAAAGCATATAAATACTTTGGCATTTTTCTTCTTGCTACATTATATGAGTTTTCTGACCTTACACTTTTAAACTCAACTGTAAACACTGTGGCATCTATTTGCTTTTTTAAAGTCATGTATTTAACACCTTCTGTGTGTTGTATTTAGTCTTTAAAACACTTCTACAAATCCAGAGAACTTGGTGCTAATTTATGTTAAGAGACACAAGAGGCTCATCTTGCAGAATGCACACTGCTGCATAAAGATGCTTTGTGTTAGTGAGGGGTGTTTAAGTGTAACTTAAGAGAAAGATGTTTCTGTGGGCAGTATCTTTGAGGCTTGATTGTTGTGAAATATTTGTTAGTTTAAGACTTTCTGACTTCTGGTCTCTATTTATAGGTAAATGAGCTTCAAAACTTGACAAGTGCAGAAGTTGTAGTCCCTCGTGACCAGACACCTGATGAAAATGATCAGGTGGTTGTGAAAATAACTGGTCACTTCTATGCATGCCAGGTAGGAGGACTGAAATGATCTTCTGTATTAGCTTGATGTTTCCATGTTCTTTCTTTTATAACCATGTGGTGGAAGAGTTTGGAAGGAACCAAGGGGTGGAAGATTTTTACTTGGGATACAGAAAGCACTGCTTGCCAGGCTCCTCTGCTTGTCTTGCTGCAATAAACTTTACTCGTGCCTGTGAGAGATTTATAATAATAAATCTGCATGGTTACATATGTAAAACAATCTCTTTAAATTCTTCTGTCAATATGTGTTGGCTCTGGCACTGCTAAAACTTTCAAAGCAAAAGAAAACCCAAGTTGTGATTGGACTGAAATTCAGAAGGAATTAAGACACAGGCGATATCATGGTATTTGGCAAGAACTGCCCCCAGATATGCAATTTGTCTACATTGCCCAATCTGTTGATTTAATATCATAAAGAAAAGGATCACAAGATTCCTTCCCTCACTTAAGTCTTAACTCAGACCAATTGCTTTTGATATTTTGCTACAGGTGACTTGTATTTCAGAAAGGAGATGGGATGGGAGGGGGCTGGGAAATTATGTAAGTCTGACCTTCTGGATTCCCTGGTGTATAAAAAATTTGTACACTATTAAAACAGTGGTTCTTATAAAACATTAGTATCTCCAGAGGAGTAAAATGAAGGTAGCCTGTAGATTCAATCTTAACATGGGTAGTCATCTTCCTATGCTCATGCTTTCTATATTACAGATGTGAAAATTGACCATGGCAGGTAGTTGTGGTAGGTGGAAAAACAAGAATTAAATTTTAAGTTGTACATCAGGATAACCCAAGTGTATTTTAACTAACAAGTAATCATTGGTCATGCCATATTTTCTTAATGCCAGTAGCATCTATTGTTGGTTGTAAACAGCAGTGACTGCAGCATGGCATCATGATGGGCTGTTTTTTCTTCTTTGTGTCCTTCAGCTTGCTCAGAGAAAAATTCAGGAAATACTGGCTCAGGTAAGAAGGCAGCAGCAACAGCAAAAAACATTGCAAAGCGGACAGCCTCAGCCAAGACGAAAATAAAGGTTTAGGAAATGGCCCATCAGAGACAGATGCCAGACCAAAGACAGACTGTGCGACAGAGAGACGGGTGGTGAGCACCTGTTGAAGTTATGCAGAAGATCCACCAAGCCAATCACCTGTTCGAGGACCAGGCAACCGTTGAACGCTGTCTCTGAGAATGTATTCTTTAGGCTCTCTCAAACTTTTGAAACCCAGCTTTAAAATAAGGACCCCTTCACTTCCCTTTTGTTCTATTCTCACAATTTAACATAAACTCGTTAGTCTTTTTTATTGTTCTTATTATTCCCCAACAATTTTAGAACTTGGTTTAATGAAGCTTTCTCTTCTGAGTTCACTGGTTAAAAAAAAAAGAAAAGAAAAAACCAACAAAAAAAAAAAAAGAAAAGGCATTGCTCTTATAGGTCCAGTTGTAAAAGAAGAAACACATTTGGAGGGTGGGATTGTGGGTGGGCTTGGGTTAGAGCAAGGGTATTGACAAGAGTTTAAGTGTTAGTCCCAATGTTGAAACAAGTGGCATTTTTTAAAAATAATTTGGTTGCATTTTTACATAACACTGCCATGAATAACCTAAGGGAAGTGTTGAATGGTGTTGGCCAGGGCATAAAAAGATAAATATGCATTTTACTAAACTACCTCAGGCATTTAGTACCTCAATGAGAAATTGTTCCTTTTTTGCTTTTTTTTTTTTGGTATTTTGTATACTTTATAAAGCTAATAGTTCTTGAGCATTTTATTTTTTTAAAAAAAATTAAAATTTGATCAGCCACCAGCCAGGAGTACTACAGACTTATCGGGGAAAAATATAGTAGAGCACTTCTAGCTGCTGGCTGATGGGAGTAAGGTGGGTAAAAAAAACACAGCCTCAGATTTCCTGAGGGCTTCAACACCATCATTTGTTTAAAAAAAAAATTCAGTGAATGTTCAAAAGATAGTGAATGATGCCAACATTCTGATAGCAGCAATGCCGTTTAGTTTTCTTTTAAGATGGGATGAAAAAGTTTGTGACGGTACTTTTTTGGGAACAGGACAAGGAAGTGATGGCAAGAGGCTGGGGTTGGGGGAAAAATTTAGAAGGCTGCAAGAGGCTGAATTTTTTTTTTGTGCTACTTGATTGAATGCATGAACCCTTTGTGCCTTTGACCATCACTACCTAATAATGCTACATTTAACCATTTGCAGCCCATTTGGACTTTGCCATTTTGTTCAAAGAGCAAGCTTCATCTTCAGTTTGATAGAACACTTGATCTGCTAGAGCATATTTGAGGCCAGGATGGTCTCTGCTGTCTGCAGATCACATCATACTGCTTTCAGTTACCACGATGGGGGAAGGTCAAACAGTGTTTGATCACATTGAAAGATAATGAAAGGCTAAGTTTACATATCCAGCCGCTGTTATGGGCCACACTAAGCCACTTTGAAGGTTTTAAAAATGATTACAAGAAAACAAAACAACAACCTCTCTAGCCTGGCTTATAATAGATGCAGCAGGATTTATGCACGTTCTGCAACCAACCATTAGAGAAGAACAAAAAATGTCAAAAGGCAGGGATAACAGGAAAGTTACCAAATTTTATAATTTCCAAATGTAATTTGAATGATGATTGTGGTAATAGTGACACATTCAAGTTTCTACAATAAACTTCAGTCTACCTCAGTTTAAGAAAAAAAAAATGTGGCAACACATGGTGCATAAAGACTGCTGTGTGTGTGTGTGTGCGCGTGCGCGCCTGTGTGTGTGTGGTCGACAGAGCCATGCTATTACCTCTGAACCTTTTTTGTGATGTTTTTTTGTGCATGAGATGATCAGAATCACCATGCTGCACTGATTTGAGGGGCACAGCGAGCAAAAAACATTTGTTTCATCATTTTGTTATCTACCTCTTAGGTTCATGTTGAGATAGAGGCATTACTACATAGACTAGATAATTTTCCCAAAGATCATTGTTGTACAGATTAGGTAATTTTGAAAATGGTCTGAAGTGTTTTTCCTGCATCTCTTCTTTACTAATTGGTTTAAAAACCACAAACTTATGTTGTAGTTTTAGCAAAGAAAAATGAGTTTCTTTTCCTTTTTTGACAGTGACCTTCATCTAGCCTTTAGGATAATTTTTTTTCTTACAATGAATTTAAAATTACTGAAGTATGAAAAGTACATAGCATTTTAAATTTTGTTGAGGCTTAAGTCAGTCTGATGTTCCTTTCTTAACATTTGAGAAGGATTTGACTTCGTTATTTTCCATAAAAAATTACTTTACAGATAGGCGCTGCATTTACATCTGCTGATTTAAATACTGTCATCTCTCTGAAATTTCTAGACTTAAATATGGTAATTCATGTTTTTCTTTTCAATTGAGACTTGGTAATTTGGAGTATTTGGGAATAGCTAGAAAGTAAATGCTGTAAATGATTTCAATATCCACAAAGTATGGATCATTTTTCATCTGTAATGTGCCCCCCAATGCAGCTCTACTTGCCAGATGCCTCTGAATGGAATAAAGAGTTTAACTCCTATCATCAGATAAAGTTGTGTGGTGTTTTTTTAAATTAATGAGGCATAGGGACAGACTGTTCTAAATATTTACGGTGCTTTGATCGAGTTGTTTTCTGTCCACAATAACAACTGGATAAGGATGAATTGTCACCTACAGGTATTCCATAGCTGCTAGGACAACCACGTTACGATGTCTGCACTTCCCAACATAAGCAGTGACTTCTGTGGCTTATAATTCATCTTCTCCCTCCCATCTAACAATGCCATACAGTCTGTAGTAGAACCTATAGTTCAGGGTTTGTCTTGCACAGCTCTCTTAGGTTGATCTGCTGTGGAACGGATGTGAACTCAACAGTCCTGTCCCAGGGCAAATGTGAAGGAATCTTTTTACCAGGTTTGAAGTGAGATCTGAAATGCATTAATTTTTTTTTTTTTGGCAGTTTTCTACCCAGTCTTTACTGTGGTGGTTTTGGTGTGATGAAGCTGTGTAACGAACATGGCCCTAGAAGGTTGGATAGGCAGAACCAGTCACAGTAGCAAGCCAGTGTGCTGGCAACCTGTATCTCACTCCAGCCGTGACCACCCAAACACACACCACTTGCCTGTGAGGTGGTATGGCAATACATTTAGATCCTTGTTAACAGTATTTGGAATAGAAAGGAGACTAGATGTTTAACTGAACGTTTCAGAGTGAGATGGAGGGGTTGGGGAATGAAGGAACATCATGAATTACACAATTCTGTATCTTTCTGAACAGAAGTGGAAAACCCAGCTTGTTTTCCAAACTCTTGCAGCCTCTTACTTGTCTTCACAGCTCATTTCCGGGGTCCAACCAGCAGAAAGAGGGAATTGAAGAAATTATGTCTGTAGAAGACACTGTGTAGAGTATTGTATTTCACAGGGCACCCTAAGCTCATTTTTCCATGCTGATATCAAGCTATCTTCTCAGAACCAGCATCCTGCCATTTGAGCAACGTATAAAGTTAGGCCTTGCTCTGTGCTGCGGGTGCATTTGTGACAGCTCAACTCCTGACTTTTTTAAGCATTTGCTTAATCATGACATTTTTATTTGCTTCTAACCTTCCAGAGCTTTTATTCCTAAGCTGCAATTTCCAAGGCATGCGCTCTTCATAATACTTTCCATTAAATGAAGCATGTGTGCTGTGCAAGACAGCCTGGGCTTGATATGGCATTAGGGTGTAGGATTTTTAAACAAACATGAAAAATTGTGGAGAAAGCACTCAAGCTGGGCTGTAACAGAGATGTTAGCTCAACTGATGGACACAAACAGTGCTTGAAAATGAAGTTACTCAAATGCAGTGCAGGAAATCAGTGAAATGACGACAAAAGTTCTACTTCAATGGTTTCCCCTGTTCATTCATCATCAAGGGATCCTGCACAGAGCCAAACCTGCATGGACCTCTGTACAGGAGGACTGAACGATGAATCTGTAGACTCATTGCACAAGCTGCTCAATTATTTTTATTTTACACAGAAATCACCTGACCCATTGAACTGATTCTCCAAAAGTTTTCTTTCCAAAAGGGGTTTAATGTTGCACATTACTGATCATCCAGACTGTCTTGGTTAATTTGTAAGTGCCCAGCTTTTAACAGTATCAGGCCAAAGTCTCACCAAGGCAGGCAAGTAACCTGTCTGAGGCATTGCAGTAGCTCAGCACATATTGTAAATGCTTCTGTTAAATGGCTAAGGACAAAGTTGTTTTCCTGGGCTGGTAGTTCTGATTGTTTAATAGCAAGCAGTGGATGTTCCATAGAACTCCTTTTTACATTATGCTTTAGCAGTAAAGTCAGCTACACTTTATTTTACTGGGTTTTTTGTCTCCTTTGTTAATTTTTTTTTTTTTGTCTTGTCTTACAGACTGTTACCCCTTTTCACCTTTAAGAGTCCTAACCTGTTCCCATGGAACCTATTCCCTATCTCTTTAATGTTCTTTTCTGGGTGCTCCTTTCGCTACTATGCTCTTGGAGACAGGATACTCTATGTGGTTCTGGTTACTAAATGTGGGTTCATATAATGGTTTAATGTTTGCTAAACCTGCCTCTATCCATCTAGTATTACTGATCCTCAGCAGCAGTAAAAGGCAAATTGTTTCAGGGAATGAGTCACTTACTCCTACACATCACTCCTAGGAGGAAATGCCTGATTTAGAACGCATCAGGCTGTAAGACAGCCGAGGTTATCTATCCTCCATATGATTACTTTTGAAAAGTTATCATGAAGCATTTTGAAAGTTCTTCTCTGCACTCAGACTTAACACTAATATGTTTGTTTTGTGGGCAAAGATGTTTTATCTGTATAGTTTATTTTATAAATGCCCTTTGCTTAACTGCAGAACTATCTGCTGCCTTGTATCAAAGAGCAGGTGAACTTTGGGGGGGCAGTCATTCCTGAAAGAAGAGAGGCTAGGCAGAGCAAGAATATGATGTGAAATAGAGGGAGAAGTTTTTTGTTTGTTTGTTTTAAATTAAATACACACACACATCCTCCTAAACACCACAGCTATAAGCACAATGACCAGGCTCACTTTGAGCATTACAAAGAGCAGCTACTATACAGTGCTTGAAGTAATGTGTGGTGCTATGGAGTGAAAAAGGTGATTACCCTCAGAATCTCCTGTTTCTGCTTCCTGATGCATGGCAATGCAAATTTCTCCAGAAGGAAGAGGTCCTAATCCAGTGATGAAAACTCTGTCCTGTAGTGGTGTGTGTTACACAGACAAGCTTACCACCCTGAAGGTCTTCTTAACTGAGCAGAGCATGCAGCAATCAGATTAAGAACAAGCTGTGTGATAACTTCTGAGAGTGCCCAACATCTGCAGTATGTAATGCTCAGTGACCAAGGGCTTCCTATAGAACTATTTTTGCCCACTTCGAAGAGCTGAAGGTTTATACTGCCAGTGTGTCTCAGTGACCCTTTTCAGAAACTAGGTGAGAGAAAAGCTAGAGGAGGAGCCAACTGCACATGCAGACTGAGCTGAATGTTTTAACTGAAGACAACTAATTGAAGCACTTCAGTTTGGGTTTTTTATTATTATTAAAAACAGATTGGCTTTGGCCGAAAAACTGACTTACTGTTCTGTTAACTCAAAGCACATTTATTTGTCACTGCTGCTCTTGGCTTTTATGTTCTCAGTAACACCAGTCTGTTTTCTGTCCCCCTTCAACTCAGACCATGACTTGCTTTATTGTGACCAGAAGCAAACAGCTTAACACAAGAAGCGTCATCTCAGCTGTACTATTTCAGTTTTTCCTTGCAGCACTCAAATCTGTTTTGCACTGCCACTACAAGCAAGTCTTTCAAAGATACTAAAAAACCAATTACTTCAGAGGATGAGCATGAGTTTCAGGGTAAGTAGCTTGAGCAGCTGTCTTTGGCCCACTCTTCTCACTGCAAACTCCACTGGGACAGTAGCTCCCCCAGGAAGCTCTGATAGGATTGCCTCTTTGATATTTTATGGTTGGACTTTATCTTAAAGGTCTTTTCCAACCTTGATGATTCTATGATTCTGATCACGTTTTTAGTTTGTTTAGAACTTTGCTTAGGCACATCCAATAAATACACTGTTTTGTACTGATAACTGTACTGACTGCTCAGTCAGTTCCCAAGCCTCTCTCTGATCTGTGAAGGCACACTCATTCTCTTTCCACACAGTAGCTGCATTAAGTTCTTGTCTCAAGATGATCACTGCTGTTAGCAGTCAGTCCAAATATAAAGTCTTCTGGCAGGGACTGCGGAGTCATCTGTGTTAACTGGTCATCGTAGGGACCGAGAGTCCACAGCTTCTCCAATTCGTAAACCTCTCGTGCCTCCGGCAGCATGAAATGCACCACAATGTTACCTGTGCAGAACAGAAATTCGCAATAAATTAATGTGAACTGTAAAGCACTACTACACCTTCAGCTGTGCAAAGAGTTCAAGTCTTCCACCCCTATTCTGGCTCAATGTAACAGGTCAGCTCATAGAGGTATCTTCTTAAATTGCTGCTTCCAGTTCTTAAACAGTGTTAGGAATTGGTCAGTCCTTCAAAAGACTCCAAGACTACAGTCACAAAAATGAGGCACAATACTTCACAATAAGACACTATCACAAGACTCCAGACCAAAGAAGTTATGACTTCTGTGGGACAGAAGAAAATAAGTCAAAAGGAATTTTACTTCAAAGAGTCCTGCAAGGTGACAGATGGATTTTCAGCTTTCTTTTATTACCAACAACATCCAGCTATAGCCAAGTAATTTTTCTTAGTTGTGTTGTTCACGCTTCTCAGGTGGTTTTTATAATGAAATAGGTCCAAACTTTGATAAGTTTTTCTTAGAAAAAAGTGCATTAGACGAACACTGGAATAAACATTCTCTACTGTTGTTTGCACAGAATGGAAATATATATGTCCTTAAATTTCAATAGGTTTTCAGTTATTACAGTGAAGTATTATGATAGTTAAGTACCCAAGGCTTAATATCACTGGCTGCAGTGTTCCTCACTCAGCTATCCTCTCTTTTAGGCCAAAACACCAAGTTGGAGGGTGATATTCTAGAATTAGCAGTGAAGGAGGAATGCTTTTTGAATGCAATCTTTTATATTTGTGTAGAGTTTCACACTTAAAGAATAAAGAATTACACTCAGTTTCTTAGGACTGATGTTTTACCTCATGTCATGGTATGATCTGGACAGTGAAAAAGTCCATTTAATAGTTCACTACTAAGGCAGTATACAGCAAGCACCCACTTAACCAAAGAGTGGTTATAGAAAACTGAGAAAATTGACAAAAGTAGCTTTTTTTTCCCCACTACTGTTATCTTCAATTTATTAAAACGTGTTTTAGCCACTAAAGAGTAGTTACTGCTTTTTTTCTCAGTGCCAAAGATCTTTAATGAACAATCATTTAATATCTCAATGAGTTCAAGCAGCAACTGGAATTCCAAAACAGGAAAGTATTGCAAATTCTCCATAGCAACCAGGGTTCACGGTGAGATGCTTCTGTCAACAAGGAGCTCATGCAGAACTTTGTACTTGTCAGATTCACAAATATTTACCAAAATCAATGCACAGCCAGTCATCTGTCTCTTTTCCTTCAATCTGTGTATGAGGATCACTTTCTTCTTTGAGATGCTTGTACTAAAAAAAAAAAAAAATGTAATGGCAGGAAATTAAGTACTTTGCATTTATTTAAAAGCACTCAACAGAGAAGCTAGATTTTGCTGAGTTGCTTTAAAGCTTAAATGGGTTAGATTACTTCATGTTGGTTCTGGAGTCTGCACAAAAAAATGAATATACACTTGCAGTACTAGAAAATGAGCTTTCTCAATGGGATTTAGTATCAAACCTGGAACCTAATGCTCTGAATTCCCATACAGTTATCCATGAATTTTGTAGGTTAATCATATTTTATTGAGATGAATACTGCATACTGTAACTGCTCAGCGTTACAGTAGTCTTTCAGTTACTGGGTCCCTAGAACTGCCACTACCACCAAGTTTTACTTCCTTTCCAATACCTTTCATTGGTGTTTTGCACTGGCTAGTTAAGGATGCAGAAATGGAAGCTTATCCTCTTCTCAGAGGGGAGTGTGGTGAGAAAGTTTCACCCCCTGCCATGAGGAAGGCATTCAAGCAAGCCTCCTGTCTCTGGAGTGCACACACTCACCACTCACTGCAAGCTGGGGAAAAGCATGACAGGCACACAGGTTTCCAAGCTATGAACTGCTGTGGGAGAGGCGAGGGGGCAGCTCAAAACAGACACTCAGCTAGGGAAAGTGGGTAGTTCCCTTTGCAACACAGGGTGGCTTTTGTAAATGCTAGCTTAAGAGGCTTAGCTCTCCCCACCCAGTACATGAAGAACCCAAGCACCCACCAGAGATGAGGAAATTTGACAACTGGAAGCTGAAGCATGGTCACTTTTGGGTCTGCCCATAACCTACTTGTTTCTCTACAAGAAGCATCAATAGAAAGGGCTCTAACAGTCCTTTCTGCCACGGAGGCAAAACACAAAATAACATATACTAGCATAGCTGGCTAAGAAAGGAGTCCCACTTCACTGGGAATACAATTATCACCAAATGCAACTGTTCTTGTTTGTTCCACAGAATGCTGGCTGCCAGATAATGACCCTTTTGAAAACCAGCAGGAAAATTTTAAAATCTCCTAGTTCTAAATTACTTTCAAAATGTATCTCAGAACCAGTTCTACCTTCCTATCTTTAAGATGGCTTGTGAGACATCTTCAAAAGCAGGTAATTGTCAAAGACTCTGAAAGTCGGCTTAAAATGCTAAAAGCCCTGTGTGCACTGCCATCAGCTATCATCAGCCTGCAAAGGCTGATCTCTGCTACAAGTTTCCAAGCCCCGTCTTTAGAGGCTGTGTAAGGTGAACAGATTATAATAAAGCCAGGAAGTGTTAGCTTCTTCCTCTAACATGAAACCAGATGGGAATGGGTAAGCAGTAGTTGGGACTTCGCCATTTACAAGCTACTGGAAGCAAAGCAGGAAGATCTCATGCTACACCTGAGCACTTCTGTGTTTTATTGTGACTAAATCATGCACTGACATAAGCTTTTAGGTACGGTAATGGTAAAGCTTGCCAGCTGCCTGGCAGTACTCCTGAGCACCTACTCCGCTTATTTTTGTCTAGAAAACTTTCAGTGTGAGACAAGCTCAGCCACTCCCATGCACTTGGTCAGGCTTCCCGGTTTTTCAGGAGGCCCAGGAGGGACACCTTCTCTCCCCAGAGGCTCTGCCTTTACAAAATCGCTGCTTTTACAGCCACCAGAGGGTGCAGCTATGAAGCACAGCCATGTTTCTGCAGGGTGGGCAGTACTCACTGATATCTCCTGGTCTGGAGGAGATGGAAAGCTGTTGATTTAAGTTGTTGCAAGTTATGCAAACAACAGAATATATATATGTAAAGCACTTAGATTTAGTACATTCAAATCACATTAATGCAACTTCCAGCTTAAGGCAAAAATTTGGTTTGCAAAGATGCATCAATTCCTTCAAAGAACAAAAGAAACTCCCCTAGCCTGTTCAGAAATACACTGAAAAGCAAAACCGTCTCTCTCTCTTTCCTCCCCACCTCAAGTCTCACAGCTGAAACCAATGGGACTGGAAGGAAGAATGTAAAACCAAGAACCAAAGGAAAAATGGGGTCAGGAAGGGAAAGAAAGTGGGTGAAGAGAAGGCAAACTCCAGGCTGAGTCCAGATAGCTGACTGAGATGGGGACTGGTTATACTCCTCACACTGCGCTTTTTAAAGTCAGACGGTTCTTTTCTGGCCATGAAGTTTCCCCTCCCCTGAGTCTGGTCCTCATCCCTAAGCTCTACTTGTATTTTTATTGACTTCTATTTCTATACTGAAAAGCTCACATTCCACCAAAGCCAGGATTTCTATGCAAGGATGGCTACCACTGCACTTCCTTTCCTCCTCTTCATGCACAGCAGGGTGAATATTAAACAGCAGTTTGCTTTACTAAGCCCAGGAGGGGATCCTGTGCCTCTCAGGATGCCATCTTTTTCCCAGCCTTACAATATACCTGAGAATCTGGAACTTTTAGGGATTAGGGTTTGAGAACAGTCAAAGTAAGTATTATGAATGACTGGGAACAGCTATGATGCTTGCTGGACAAAGATAAAAGTGGACACAGGTCATCATCACTATTTCACATCACTCCTGTCCTAGCCACCAAACTCTGCTGATGTCATCACTGTTCTACATCCAGTGAGGTCTGTTTTTAAAACATATTACTACATTTTGTGTAGTGCTGCTAAAGCGAAAAAGCATAGTTAGTTGCTAGATGTATTCAGGACTAAATGATATAATGTAATCAGGTTCATCTTACCTGGCACAACCTTATACGTGCAAACCTGAGGAAATTCCTTTCACAACATTTAAAACCATTCCCCAAAACTCAGGGAGAGCAGCAAAAACTGTCTTACCATTTTCAGCATGTACTGTGCCATTGCATGGAGATGCCGTGTTGAAGATCCACTCACAATTATAAAATAATCACAGTACTTTATTTCTGGAGGTGGCTGGATGACACAGATGTCTTTAGCGTTTTCTTGCCTCAGCAGTGCTACAACAAAGTCAATGTTGAATTTTTGAAGAACAGTATCTGGGAGCAGATGGAAAAAATAACACAGTGGCAATTTATCTTTTTAATTGCAAAAATCAACCATTTAAGAAGCCATAAAATAGCAATTAACTGAATTATAGCCTAAGCTAGTCACTCATTATGAAGTTTGGTTTGATACCGACAATGCAACATGATCTGCAGATTTTTCAAAAACATCTTTAAAATCATCAAAGCTGAGAACTAAGCAGTGTTCTGGTAAACAACACTTTATCACTACATATAAGTTACCTAAATGAAACTCTGATGTTTGCTAACTTACTTATTTATTGTTGTTAGCATCTACAAGTCAATGATATCATCAGACACTTGTCAATTAAAATGAATGAAACCTAAGTAATTCAACAGACATTATTAAAACAACAGACAAAACTGAAAATATTTCAAAACAATGCTTTTCAACAGACCTGTGATAATACATGATGAAATTATTCTAGAGCCTTAAGCAGGTGAAATCAATGTATTGAAAATGGAGCTGACGTGATGCAGTGTGAAGATATTCTTTATCTGCACATGGAGTAAAGCCACTTTTTTTCTTTTTCCCTAGCCTGTTCTGCTGCAGAAGATTATGATATTGTAGACCATGCTTTAGTCCTTCAACAGTTTAAGCAAGCCAGCTTAGAAACCATTAAATCTGTGCAACTACCTTGTGTTCACACCAAGAAATCAGTTTATTTATAATTTGTCCTAATTAGGGAGATGCAATTTGTGTGCACACTTAAGACATAATTTGAATCTGTCAGCAATGCAAGTCTACCACTATAAAGTGAACGTTAGTGCAGACGGAGCATCAGCACAGAGCCAAACTTCATATTTCCCAATATAAAGAAAAAAACCAAACACAAGAACAACAGCTACATACAATTATATGCATGAACGGGGATTTGAAATTGGATCAGATTTCTGTAAATGGAAGCCTTTGAGCTCAGGGACTCAGGCACTCTTTCAACTTTTTGCTGTGGTCACACATGCAGAAAATTAGCGATGGCCACAGCCCCTCCAGACGCAGTGGTTACAAAAGTTAAATATTTGCTTGGTAGCCACATGTGAAGTCTCCAGTGCCTCCTTAGAGAGCGAATGGCCTAAACAACCCCGGGCACGGTGTGCCACGCTGATCGGCATGGCCAGATCCAGGCTGGAGAAGGTTTGCAGAACAGCTGCCGGGACACACCAGCTCTGTGCACACGAGGCTTGTACCCGTAACCAGCCACCCGTAACTGCTTCCCAACCTCTTACGTAACAGGGAGACTGCCAGGGCACATCCCCAAAACACCTCCAACTCGGCACCACTGCCCCCTCAGAAGTTCCTGTAGGCATCTACACACAGGCTCCATTCACACCAGCCCCGAATCCTCATTATCCCGCCGGGCAAGGGAGTCGATGCTGGCCCTGCGCCGATGCCGTGACTCCGAGGCCCGCGGTCGCAGCCGAGGTGAGGCCGATCCCACCGCACTGGGCACCGTGAGGGTCCTCCCGCAGCTGCAGAAGCGATTCCACGCGCTTCGAGCAGCCCCCTCTTCCCGAGGCGTCACATTTCGCTCAGGGCCACCCCCGCAGCGCGGCTCCCGCGGCTGGGCCCTACCTGCCGCCTGGCGCCGCTCCGCCGCCGCCTCCAGCGCCCCGGCCCCGGCTCCGGCTCCCGCCGCCGCGCAGCCCCCGCGGGGACCCGGCGGGGCCCGGGGTGGCGGCGGCACCGCCCGCGGGGTGCCCCCGGCCGCGGCCCCGAGCGGCCGCAGCAGCCGCCGCGCCCCCGACACCGCCCGCCACATGCCGGCCCCGCGCCCCGCCCCCTCCGCCGTACCGCACAGCGATTGGTCGGCGGCGGGGCCGCCCCCTCGCCTCATTGGCGCAACCGGCCGTCGCTCGGGCAGTGGCGGCGGGCGTGCGCGCGGCGACTGCCTGGAGGTGGCGGCGCTGCCGGCCGTGTCCCCGAACCGGCGTGTCCCCGAACCGGCGTGTCCCCGAACCGGGGTGTCCCCGAGCCGGGGTGTCCCCGAACCGGGGTGTCCCCGAACCGGCGTGTCCCCGAACCGGCGTGTCCCCGAACCGGGGTGTCCCCGAACCGCCGCCCGGGTGTCCTCCGGCGCCAACGGGGTGGCGGCCCTGGGGCCTTGCGGCTCTGCTCGTCGGAGCGGCACCTCTTCGAGGAGCGGGCGCTCGGCCCGTCATGGAATCATACAATGGTTTGGGTTGGAAGGGGACCTTGAAGATCATCTACTTCCAACCCCCCTGCCATGGGCAGGCCCAACTATACCAGGTTGCTCAGAGCCCCATCCAACCTGGCCCCACCTCCGCGGTGGGACATCCACAACTTCCCTGGGGAACCTGTTCCAGTGCCTCACCACCCTCACAGTAAAGAATTTTTTCCTGATATCTCTTCTAAACCTACTCTTTTTCAATTTGAAACCATTCCCCCTTGTCCTGTCACTACATGCTCTTGTAAATAGTCTTGCCCCATTTTTCCTTCAGATACTGGAAGGCCACAATTACGTCACCTTGAAACCTCTTTTCCTGGCTGAACAATACCGATTCTCTCAGCGTTTCCTCACTGGAGAGGTGCTCCATCTCTCTGATCAACTTAGTGGCCCTCCTCTGGACTCACTCCAACAGGTTGATGCCCTTCCTGTGCTGAGGACCCCAGAGCTGGATGTAGCACTCCAGGTGGGGTCTCGCCAGAGCAGAGCAGAGGGGCACAATCCCCTCCCTCAGCCTGTTGGTCACACTGCTTGTGATGCAGCCCAGTCATGTTTGGTGCCCGCCGGACCCAGCCCCGGGGCACTCCTGGCCCCCTGCCAGAGTCCCAGGTTGGGAGTGCGGGTGTGCAGACAAGGAACATCGGGGCTGACAGTGGCTCATCGTCACCTTCCCTGTCCCCGCCTTGTGCTCCTTGTCTGTGTTCTGTGAGGAGTGTCTGACCTTCAAGGTGGTAAAATGGGAAGGGACCTTTCTCTTTCAGATTTCCTTGTGTGTGTGTGTGTGTGTGTGTGTTATGTTTTCCTGCACTGCATGAAACCCATGTTTGGATTTTGAAATTTTCAGACCTCTCAACATCTTCGTCACTCACTTTTTTTTCCTCCCTGAATTTGGACACATGACAAGGTTCCTGTGGCTCACTGCCTCCTCGAAGCCCTGGATCATGCAACAAGAAACTGTGACTGGGTATCTGTTTTACAGCACACACTGCTGGTTGCTTTTCAACCTTTTGGTCTCCATTGTCCTCCCTGCCACGTGCAGCTGATCAGTTGGGTTTTCAGCTGTACCTGGCCTACAGGATTCTGGAGCCAGAAAATAGATGCAGGTTCCCTTAGGGATACATCCTGAAGGTAGCTGTTTGTTTGGTACCATGGCTTGGGAACATGGGCCAGGGGATGGTTGAACAAGCATAAATTTTAAAGGATCATAGAATATGCTGAGTTGGAATGGACCCATCAGGATCATTGAGTCCAACTCATGGCCCTGTGCGGGACACCCCAAGAATCACACCATGTGCCTGAGAGCATTGTCCAGGCACTCCTTGAACTCAGACAGGCTTGGTGCTGTGACCACTTCCCTGGGGAGCCTGTTTTGGTGCTCAACCACCCTCTGAGTGAAAAACTTTCTCCTGATATACAACCTAAACCTCCTCCAACTCAGCTTCATGCCATTTCCTCAAGTCCTGTCACTGGTCATGAGAATGAAGAGATTGGTACATGCCCTGCTGCTTCCCCTCATGACGATGTTGAAGACTGCAATGAAGTCTCCCTCAGTCTCCTCTGTAGATGCCTACAGGAACTTCTGAGGGGGCGGTGGTGCCGAGCTGGAGGTGTTTTTGGGATGTGCCCTGGCAGTCTTCCTGTTACGTAAGAGGTTGGGAAGCAGTTACGGGTGGCTGGTTACAGGTACACTTGAACAAACCAAGTGAACAAGCAACTCAAGGATGATTTGATGTATCTAAATTTGAGAGGGAAGGTCGTTCCTGCACTTTAACCAGCTCTGTGCTGTGCTAGGTTGTTGGGCATCTGTAAAAGGGCAGATACAAAATGTGGGCACTGCCATGTAAACTGAAATCACATATCCCAGCTCAGGCCTTGTGCCCCCTTTTAAAGGCAGTGGCTTTGGCTAAAAAGCTGCAGCTGGTTTGAAACTTGATTTTTCTTGGGAAAGTGTGTTTTACATTTGTGTAATTCCCACACAGTGTTAATGGGCACAGGGTAGTAGTCTCACTGTGTTTGGTTTGCTATGGAGAATGTTGTCAAGGGCTAAAAAACCATGACCTAGGTAGGCATGTCTGAGCATTTCTATTTAATGTGGGTGAAACTTGTTTCCGTGCACCTCCTTTCCCTTGGAGATGCTGACATTTACAGGTATGGTAAAATGAAAGAATTGCCATTCAGAATGTTTTTCCCCCTCTCACTGAGTATAATGGTAAAACAATGGTATTATGGTTTAAAGGACATAATCATGGTTGGTGCCAGACTCTTTTCAGTGGTGCCCAGCGACAGGATGAGGAGCAGTAGCCATAAACTACAACACATAAAGTTTCACCTCAACATTAGGAGGAATGTCGTTATGTTGAGCATGGCAGAGCACTGGAACAGCTGCCCAGGGAGGTTGTGGAGTCTCCCTCTCTGGGGACATTCAAAACCCTCTGGACACATTCCTGTGCAACCTGCTGTAAGTGACCCTGCCTTGGCAGTGGGATTGGACTAGATAATCTCCAGAGGTCCTTTCCAACCCTAACAAGTCTGTGATTCTGTGAGAATATACAGACTTGTAGTGATAAAAGCTTTATCTTTAAAGAAAATTTGACTATGCTGTATGAGGCTGGAGGTGATCAGTTGTACTAATGAGCCACAGTGGCTAGATGTCTCTTGCAAACTTTTGTTTGATTCTTCTACTATTTCTTCAGGGACTGGTGGTTCTTAGCCTTGGTTTCAGCTTCAAAATACTTTTGGTAAGAAAAAAATGCCACATCTGATGAGTGTCTTTGTGCTATAAAAATGTTCCAGAAGAAAAGGGGGGAGAAACAAAACAAATGGTTTGAAATAATAGTTCAGTTTTTAAAGTAATTTTTAACAAACTTGTTACCGAACTGATATTTCAGTTTCTCTTGATGACATGTTTGAAAAGATGTTCTTTCTATAAAAATTATGTACATTTATGTTTGATGTCATTCTTGATGTTATTTCTCCAGAGGGGATGCCTGAAAGCTGTCTTGTAACATTTGCTGACATTCACAAATATGTTGTTTGTCAGCTGTTCTTGCCTTTTGAAGGACACGAAATTCATTTGTATCCTGATCTGTTCTGAAATTGGGTTCTGTAGCTGTCATCTGGTTGTTGAGAAAGTCTTGCTTCTCAGATTTGCGATGCCATTGCTCTGAGTACACTTGAAGGGAGACTGCAAAATCAGCTAGATAACCAATGGTAGTACCAGGTGTGAACTAAGCGTAAAGCAAATCCAGTTGTGTTTTCTGGAGGTAGATACTGTTTTGATCAATAATTGGGCAACTCATCAAGTTGCTTATCTCAGAGTATTTCTTTCTGAGACAAAGAAAGTCTACTCTTTAAAATCATTAGATGGTTTATTTGTCAGTGCAGCAGTTAAATTCCATTGTATAAAAGTAAAGATGTATGAAATAGAAGTTACAGCTGAAAATGCAAAATCACACTATAAAAATGTAATAGTCTGACATGATACTTAAAGGGAGATAATGCAATATATTCTGTATACTTAAGTTAAAGAATAAAAAAGTTCTTAACATATGCCCGAAAGCTGTTTTCTATGCAAAAGCTTAAGATGTCTCTGAGCTCCTAACATGCAATGTTTTGCAGAAACAAGATGCTTTTTGCATACAGCCTAGGTCAGTGGTAGCCTTCACTGATCCTAAGACGTGACAGATGTAATGTTTTCATGCTTCATTTCAGGTCATCTCAAGCTTTCCAATAAACCCCTGTCCTGCCTCAAGCTAGAGCAAAAAATACAAATTACAGTCCTGCCTGACTGATAACAGAGGACATAACATTCAGGCAGTAATTTTTGCAGAAAATGTGTTTTCTGTTTAAGTCAGAAAATATTCTTAGATGCCCAGTTCTGGTTAGACAATAGGATGTTAACTATAAGGAAGATGGAACAATAGCAAATACACTGCTTTTAATAATATAACTGAAATGGCCGCAGAAGAATTAAAATAATGGGAAAACCTGGGAAAAAAAGAAGAAAATAGGCTGATGAGCATTTGATGGATCTGCTAAAACAGTAGGAAAGTGTGTTTATGCTTATATATTGCCTGAAAACAGCATATATCAGAGATGTTTCAAGACACAGTAAACAAGGTAACTATCTTGAAATATAGATCTTCAAAGAAATTAGTGTTTAGAAATGGTTTGGGTAAGGTCATTGCCAGCCTCTATTTTGGTTATAACCTTTACTATTAACAGCAGGGCTTTTATGGAACATGAACTATAAAGCATTTTTGATCTGCTTGCTCATCTCAGTAAAGCTCTTCAGCAACCTTTTCCCTGCTACAGATAAGATACTGTCCTTTTGTCATCATCCAGTGGCCAAGACTTCAGCAGTTTGCTGCTGATCTCACACTGTGAAATGCCACAATGCTGAGTGGTGACCATGTGTGGCTACAAAGCCAGATCGCTTGGGAAAAGCCTCGGAGTTAGTTTTTTTAACACAGAATTGCAGCTAGAGTGAACAAGGCACATTGGTTTTGCTTAAGTTTATATTTTCTGAGCTGCATCATGCAAAAGCAGAAACTGGAACATAGTGCTTTATTTATATTGGGGTTTTCATTTATTTGATTAAGTGGTCGAAGAAGGATGTAGGAGCAAGCAGAAATTGCTGTATCTTTACAGCAGGAGAGAGAAAAATTAAAAGAGAAGGGGAAAAGGGAGTTGAATGCTACCCCTTCCTGCTAGACCCCTCCTTCTGCTGATCCCTGTACGTAGAGCATATATCCACACATCTGCCCTCTGGGGAGTGGTAGTGCCAATCCGGTCTCTCAAGACCAATGGAAACAAAGGAGACAAAGACAGCATCAGCAATTGCATCTCAGGATTTTACATGGGACTCAGAGTAAAAGTTTGGAGAGCCAAGCTGATAGGCCTCATCTTGTTGCTCGAGTGTCTGTGGTTTCATTTATAGTGAGACTCACGCACTGGTAGCCATGTCCAGTGGGAAACTAAATGTGTCCAACCCTGTTTTCTGGCCCTGAGGCCAACTGGAATTTAATGAGCTGCGCCCATGATATTGAACCCTGCAAAACAGGGTGGCAGCTGCCAAACTCCCAGTGGGGAACTGTCCCTTCTGGTGGTTCCCAGAATCTAGGGTTTGCTTGGTGGGGAGCTAGACTGCCCGGGGCAAGCCTGTGCTAGGACCTCCCGAACAGCGTAACAGCAGCAGCAGTTCGGTGTCAATGCCTGGGAATAGGCCATGGCACGTTTCATTCCACAGACATAACACGTGCCTGCCCCCCATGTCTCTCTTTCAAGCAAAGACATGAATCCTGCTAAGGCAGTAAGCAGCAATAAAAACTGTTTACAAGTTGCTTGGTTGTTGTTTTGGTTTTGGGGTTTTTTTTCTCTTTTTTAAATTTACCTTTTTTTTCCCCCTTCCAAATTATAGATATGATTATTTTTGCAGGTTGTTAACCTAGAAGTAAGAAAACCCAGATAAGTGTGTTGTAGTGGGGGGCAGTTAGTTATTCAGAAGAGTTTATCCTGGATCACAAGCAAGAACAGCAAGTGCTTAAAACTACTTCCTTGTTTTCTACAAAGGACTACTTTAATGTTTCTAATTGCACCAAGCCCCAAAAGTTATCATTCCCTCTATATGTGCTTTCACCTTACTCCCTGTTTTTTAATAACAAGAAAGCCCCATTAAAGTACAGTTCAATATGAGTTCTGTTCTTAATCTAACAGTCGGTGTTAGACTAAAGGTTTAAACAATGCCTGGTTTACTCTTCAGCAGAGGATTTCTCTCAGTGCTATTAGGGAAGAAAACAGCTTTGAAACTGCTGAAGTAAGCAGTGAGTCCCTCCTGCTTCTCTGTTTGTCCTGCGCTTCTCTCAATAGGCTTGTATTGCTTGTATCTCCTGCAAGGAATGTGCACAGTTAGTTGCTAAAAGACATTTAAATGAAAGTCCACATTTAGCATGTGACCAGTGCATAAGAGCATTAATCATTTATTCATCATACATTCTCTTTCCTCCTTCCCTGTCCAATCCCATCTAATGGCTGGTCAGTAGTGGCGATTAGGGCCTGGTTAAAGAGAAGGTTCCCTTGCTTGGTGGAGAGCTGTTGCTCTGTGGAGGTGTGTGTTTCTCACCACTGACTGTGAAGGGTGAGCACACACTTGGCTCAGGAGTCTTGGTGCAGTCTTAAAGTCTCATGAGGAACAACTAAGCTAATATTGTAGTAACATGTGCTTCTGTGAACTACTGTCTTGCATCCCCATCACCTTTTCCCCAAAGAGTTTATTTGTCAATTATTTAATGAAGAATTTTGGTGATTAATTCTCAATCTGTCAGTCACTTGCAAACACTTCTTGTAAGAGTTTTAGAGCTAAATTAAATTTCTGTTTGTTCAGTTTCTCTGCATATATAAATCACATCACGCAGTTTGAGTTTGCTTTCTGCTTACATGCAGTTCCCAGGCCTGCTAGTATTAGTAGCTTATGGGCACAGAACATAATTTTCTATGAAAACCCTTAACATCTGCATATTTTCCAATGGTTTTGTAGCCTAAGCCAATAACCTCATTTTCTTGAATATTTGCCAAAATGTTTGCGAACTGCAATGATAAAGAAACAAAAATGTAGCTACAGCTACTTTAAGTTACTTGGTTTGTTGATTTAAACTTTATATTTTGACAGTTCCTTGAACTGTTTTTAATCAGAGAAACTAGCAACTTACTTGTAAAGGACAAATGCCCCAATGGTGGCAAAAACTGCCAACAAGCCAAGGAAGATAAAGACGCCTTCTGTTGTTCTGTATGATGATCCTAGAGTTCAGAAAACAGAATGATTAAAAGTTAGCCTGTTTTACAGTGAGATAGACTTTCTAAAGAAAATCCCATTTTTACTTCATTGCTGTATGGACTGAAGTAGCTCTAATACGTTAAGCATTGGAGGTCAGTGACTGGCAGGAGGTGGTGCTTTTTCACCCCAGGAGATGAAGCTAATCTGCTTTGATTATAGTGGAAGCCCCAAAGGACAACTCAGCTTTGCCCTCTGGAGGAGACCTAGGCAGACCAGCCTTGCTGGGCTGAAGGCCTTTGTGAATACAGTTTTGGAAAATCCTTCTGCATGCTTATTTTCATCTTTAGGAGCCAGAATGCACTTACAGCTCTGGCATTGGGCCTTAGTCATAATGAACTGGTTGGAGTACAGTTAAATTTATACCTAGATTCAGTAAAGTCAGCCAAAAATACTGTGAAACAATACCACAAAGGGTCAGTTTCTTGGCTGATAGTAATTAAAGAGTTCAGAAGAGTCACTAGGACATTGTAATGGGAAGTCAGGAGGGCAATGGAGTGGGAGCAGAGAGACAGCATGATCATTTAGACTTCTGACTGAGGCTGAGTTTAGCACCTGGTTCTGTCAAAGACTGCTTGGATAGCTATGAGCAAGGTACAGTGATACTCCTCCAAACAAAGATAAACCTCCTGTTCTGAAATAGTTACCCTGGGCAGACTCTGTAGTCAATGGATGTCACACAGATCATTCCAGAACCTGCTTCATTTTATCCTCATGTAGAAATAGAAACCTGGTCAAAGTTAATGGGATACAAAGAAGGCCTAGGGCAGCCAACTCCGCTGCAGACTTTGATTCTGTATCAAGTAAGCTGAATTCCTCTCTGTTTCTGCTATTTCTCCATGTGTGGGTATGTCCCCCACCTGCTTTTCTGCCCAACAGAGTTTTCTGCAGAAAAACACATTATGGCTTAAGAACTGTTCATACTCTGTAGTACTGAAAAGTTTGCATAATTACCTTACTCATTGGATCGTAAACATAAATCAACCGAGGTCTAACACCTAAAATTCCCGTAGGGAAATAATTGTCTCTTTATCTTTGCATCGACTCTCACACAAGCTGGCGCAGTCTCAGCTGAGACCGCCAGGCATAAAAAACCCCCCCATATATATTCCTGTGCTCTTTCCCCTGCAGTGAAATGACCACGGGGAGAAGCTATTCACAGACAACCCACATCTGCTCTGTGTGGACTCACCTCCATTTACAGAAATCAGTGCACTGGCAAGGGCTTGACTTGAGTCATCACCCAAGGTGATGTTTATACAGTATGTTCCGGGTTCCTCAAAAGATCTCCTGACAGTGAGTAAACATTCATCGCTGACGGTGACGGGGTCACATACCACACTCTTGGACACCTGGCAAGTGGGGTCAGAAACTACTGTGCAGACATCTGTGGGCAGACTGGGATGGGAGGAGAGAAACATTGCATCTGTGGAGTCCTGTTAGCCTGGTTCACAGACGCATTGCACTGGTACACCAGTTTTATGCTGGTGCCTGTTGACATCAGTGGCAGTATAGTGATTTAAGAGTGTTTTATTAATACTATATGTACTTTTTACATACCTATACATTTATATATGTACATGTGGATTTTATATAGAATGCATATATACAATCTATATAGTTATCTACTTGTTCTGCTTATCATTTAACATTTTATGGTGATCACAAAATTACCTGTATCAAATCAACTTATAAAGTCCATTACCTTTAATACACATAATTAAGAAAGGAATGCAGATTCTTGTAAGTAGTATCATGTGTCAAAAAAGAAAACACTAGCTTAAGAGAATATAATTGTTTTCCAGTTGTATTACCAAGGTGATTCTTGTACTTAGTCCTCTCAACTATAATCTAATAGGAGCTAGGACTATTAGTGCAATGTTTTCCTATTCAAGAACTTGCTCGGAGATGCCCACTTACTCTAAGTGTCAAAAAATCACGTCCAAAAAGGAAAGATTTCTTTACCATTTCAGTAAACTGATTCCCATTTTACATAGGTGCTAAAATCTTTTCTTGCCAGGAAAATACAGAATTGTTTCTTCCCGCAATTCCAGTTCTGTTATTTTTACTGAGACTCGACATTTGCTCTGAATCCTAAGTGCCTGGCAGTAAGCTCTGTTGCCATAGTTTACAAATGAGGCTTGCATTATCTTTAGTTCCAGTCAAGAAATAGAAACACTACAGTTTCCAAATTTTGTTCATGCAGCTGCATCTAAGTGCAGACAGCATTCCAGCACCTAGTTATTTTTAAAGAGAGAACACTGACCACTTCATTCACACACTTACCTCCCTTGGCAGGTAACAACAAAGTCAACCAGTGAGTTTTCAGCTTGACTTTCTGTCATCTGGATGCTCGTCATCTGAATAATATTTACCTCAAGGATTCCCTCTGGAAGAGGAAACACATGTCAACGGTAGGACACATGACAAGCTCTGAAGTCTGTGTGTACTGAACCTCAAGTGTTTGGCTGATGCTTAGTTCAGGTCTTGTTTTCCATAACCTCTTCTCCTTCTTAGCACTCCTCTTGAGTGGTTTGAAAATTGAGAAACTTTTCCAGTGCTTTCCCTGTGAGGCTACTCCTTTCTGCTCTGCTTCTTTTCCCCATTGTTATTATTTACTTACTTACTTTACTAAATCACTTTCCACTATATGTGACTTCTCTGCATTCAAAGGTCAGTTCAACCTTATTTAAACCCCCTCTCCAGCCAATATGCTCCTGGGGTGGCAGGTTCAGAAGCTGATGATATAGAGAGAAGTGATACTGTGCACATCCCTACCAGCCATTTTCCAGCCCAAGTGCCTGGAAACACCACATGTAGCATGGGGTCAGCCATCAGCAGGCATCCAGAACAAAGCCCAGCCTCCTGTGTCTGAAACCAAGCGACCATAACCTCTACCACTAGGTCCTGGCAGAGTGCATGAAGAAACTAAAGTCAGCCAGTTAGATGTCTCTACGTTAATCTTTAAAACTCTCGACTATGTCTGTAAGAAGGATCTTACTGTGGGTCTCATGTATTTACAAAATGTTGTCTAAATAAATACTATTGCTACCATACTTTTTTGTACATTGTTAGCGCCATTCCTTTGTTCAGGTGTTGACCATGTCCTTACCTACGACAGAGATACCACTTCTATAGTATCCATTTCTGTAAATGTGGCAACCTCCATCAGGATTATCCTCCATTGACTCAACGATGGCAGAAGAGTCTGAAGATGCTCCGGTTGTTACTGTTTGAGGAAAAAGGATTAGACAGACAACTTCAGAACAAGCTCTACTTAGGGGTATTCTGAACATGGCCATATGTTCCAACTGCCTTCATCCCATAGGTCATTAGTGACTTTGGTTTGCAGCTGAGCAGTCATGTTTGTATCTGTATGGGATCATGGCAATAATCCCTAAAGAAAACACATGTGCCCAGCTGTAGAACCCTGGAGTGGCCTGGGTAGCCTCACTCTAAAAGCCACCTTGCTAGTCACCCATTTCTGTGAAATAAAAGGGAGACTACAAGGTGTAACATAATTAAACACTTCTTTGAAATCCCCAAATCAACTATATAAGAAATCCAAAGGCCAATAAAAGGTTTAAAATGCTTTCTTTAAAAGCTGGTATTTTCCAACTGCTCTACATTACAGCTAGTGGAAAAATGAAGAGGGGAAGTGGCGAAAATTATATCTTTCCTTTCATTTTTGATTCTCACTCAACATTTTGGTAAAAACACATATTAAAAATATGAAATTTGAAAAATATAGCCACATTTACAATCTCAGAGTAGTAGTATTATAGCTGAAACTGCAGGCCTTCTGCAAACCTTAAAACCCTCTGAGATCATAAACCAAATGCTGAACATGATGAAAGTTGTTCTGAAATATGATACTCAATAAATTTGAAGTGGAAAAGTTGTTTTGGGTTAAAGCCATGTGGAAATCCCGTATTTTTGAATATGACTAAGTTGTTCTAGTTCGATCCAATCTCGTTTAATTTTGGGTAGAATTTAATGCAATCCAGAAAGGAACTTGCAGAGGTGTTCTGAAATATCTCTTTCTCACTTTAAATTTACATCTTCCTTCAGAAGATGACCCTGAGTATGCAAGGCTAAAATCTCCAGACCTGGTGTGGTAGGGGTTATACAATCAAATTTGTGTGTACTGTATGTCCACCTGGAGACACCTGTATGCTGTCACTGTGGTGGTAGAACTGGACGCGTAATGTGTTAAATGTGTAACTGATCCCTACCGTAGAGTCATAGAAAAGTTTATGCTATTGATTCTGTCTCTAAACCAAGTTATGGAGGGTTTGCAGAGCCTTGCAGCTCTTTCATGATGACAGTAAACCTTTGAAAGATATGAACTTAAAATATCAGAAGTTAGAGTTTTAGCATAGCTCCAAATGCCACTGTTGTTTGACAAATTCTTACCTGCTGGGGTGGGGGGTGGTACCGTGGGTGTTACTGGCTTGCAGGGCACAGGAATAATGGCTTGGACAGTTAAATTCAGAGTGAAGTTTCCTTGCAGAGTGTAAGTGTGAGATGTAGTAGAACTGCTGGCTACAAATAAGCCACTTCCATCTCCGAAGTTCCACTTGTAGGAGATGGCAGAGTTGTTAAGATAGTAGCTGGGATCATGGATATTCACATCAAATGTAATTGGTGAGTCTTTGATAAAAATGGAGTCTGAGATGTTGCGGTCATGTTTTTGGAACATACTCACAAATATTGGAATTTTGTCTGGAGGGGAAAAAAAAAAGGAGTAAATAAATAAAGCATAGATGCCTGGCTGCAAACAACAAATGGCTCCAAAGTCCCCGAACAGCAACAATCAGAATATGAGACATTAGTATCTTTAACACGGGTTTCTACTTTAATTCAATTTAAGATCTGATGACTGAATGTCAGTAGGAAACAGCTACCCAGAAAAGTATGGGAACAAATGAGGAATCAGAGACATCTGTGGAAGTCTGCATTTCCTTTAATAAGTAATTTTTCATTACAAAGTAGAGGTGTCACTACTGAGCTAGACACAAGAGTAACTTGCTCTACTCAAGGCAATTTACCAGAGACTCCATTTTCATATTAAAAGTATTTCTTGGGCCAGTGTCCTCTTTTCATGTCAGATGATGCTTGTGCTGAATTCTTTTGACATCTAAACAACAAATACCCGCAGTATTTTATTACAGTTTATTCCAGCACACTCACCTGTTACAGAGTAAATGGCTTTTGCTCTCGCGATTGGAACGTATCCTGAGTGCCCTCTCCTGTAAATGGACACTGCCATCACATGTTTGCCAAGAGTGATATTTGCTGTGTTGACCGAAAGCTTTGCTGAAGATCGTCCTGTTGTTTCGTAATACTGACCTGAAAGAGAACATGAACCTTATGTTTTCCCCTTCAGCCTAGACACAAGTTGTTTTATGAGAGGCAATATCTCTGAGAATCTTGGATTGTCTAAATCAAAACAAATAGTTTAGCATTCTCTTTCAGTAATTTGGCAGGTGTTTTTGGAAGACTAAATACTTTTACAATGTGTTTACTCTCATTATTTCTGTGTTTTTTCAAAGTTGTCAGAAGGAGGTCCCAAATTCACTAATCCAAGAAAAATTTGCCAAAGCATCTACATCTTTCCAAAGCAATTGCTACAGTAAATCATTAAGATTATGTAGTGGATGGTGTCAGGCCTTTTAAGAGATCTTGTGTTTGCTTTCAGTGTAGCCAGAAGATATAATATCTTTTTTTTCACACCCTAGAACCATTTGTGTATATTTGCTTATTTGTCTTTTTAACAGGCCTGATTCAGGTAGATAAATACTATCACCTCTACATAAAATTTGGGACATTATTATTACTCATGCTCTGACAATACTGACAATAATACGGATTTACCCAAGATTTAGTACGTAGCTAATGGCAGGAATAGCCCAACCATTACATACTCAGGAGCAGGAAACACTGAAAATCAGCATCTGTGACCAGACCAGTGTCACACAGTCAGTGGCAGTTCTCACCTCCCCAGAGGCAAGAAGTGCTGCACCGTTAAACTGATGATATACAGCGCTATGTTCTCTTAAATTTAAGAGTCTGAAGTGTCAGTGAACAGTCAAAAAATCATCTGACTGACTTGCTCAGACCTTCCATTTTCCTAGAAAAGGATTTTGAGTACTACTGAAAGGAAATTAATATTCTTCAGTGGTAGTACTGTGAATGTAGATTTAAAGAGAATCTTCTGGTAATCCATGCTTTTCAGACCAAAGATCTGATGGCCTCTCTGGAAAGTGGCAAATGAATTCAGTATCTCCACTCAAGAGGGTGGAATCCTTTTGAAAGGACTTTTATTGAAACATACTTGATGAACGAGTTAGTGTACAAAGTGAATATAAGCTTTGCAGCATCACCCAAACCAAGGCACATGTTGTGGTACTAACCAAACGTGTGAAACACGTAGACAAAGTTCTTTCTCCTCCAGCCAGGGTGGTGAGGGAAAGGTCTCCCATCTGGGAATACATTATGACTGTAATTGCTTGTGCAGTTTTCCCAGACACAGTTGTCAATCCATTCAGTCCAGTTGTAGACATAGACTTGCTGATCCTCAGCAGCTGGAGGATCTAAGGGTAGAAATAAGATGAGTTCTGGTCAACTGAGAAATGTGCAGAAAGTCAGGTAACAGGAGGCAGGCACCCCTGGTTATAGGAGTTATCGCACCTAAACAGCAAGGTGGAGTATTTTTAGACTGACGTGCAATTTTTTTCTGAGACTCTGCTTTGTTTTGGTTTTAATATAAACACTGAATTGTTTCATCTTGGTGTTGTTTTATCTAGAAGTTTAAAAAAGTTTGATTGTCTCATGGGGCAGCCACAATTTAAATTGCTTGCCCAAAATCTTGCTGTCGAGTATGCAGGGGGCTACTGTTTCACTGAAGTTAATGGGGCTACCTGAGTGTTTGGCAAGCAGAATCCAAAAATTTAACTAGAAACATTGGCCATGGAAGCACTGTGAGGAAGTGATTGTTTTGTCAGAGAAGTTTTCTATGACATTGTTTAATAACTTAAGCATGAATTTCAGTTCTTTTCTGAATAATAGAGAGTTTCCTCCCCCAAACAGCGAAGTAGATATTAAGTAGAGAATGGATATCAACTGTTAACAAAACAATAGACAGTTAAAAACTAGAACTTAGGCTGATAAAAAAATTGCTGATATTCCTTGAAATGAAAATTACTTTGATCATTTAGAAATTTGTTGAACTTTTATGGATTCAGAGCATGAAAGGTACAACAGCGTGTTTAATTCTGGATCCAGCAGCTCCAAACACTGAAATTATGATAGGTTTTTTTGCTCCATGTAACAGTAAATAAGATGAAAGAAGGTCATTCTTTGAGGAAAATATTGCTTGATTTTGAATCTTTTTGTTTGTTTTTTTTTTAATTCTTAAAATGTGGGAGTATGAGATTTACTCTTTCTTGAGGGTTTTTCAGGATGCAGATATGGTTATTGAATTCTACAATTCCTAACTGCAAAAAAAAATTCCCAGTTTTGTAAATTTACAGCTTTGTAAGTTTGGAAGAAAACAGTGTGACTGTGCAATGTTGTGCCTGAGCTGAAAAGCAGTAATGGTTCTGTTAGGAAGCCAAATTAATGTAACTGTTTTGGGAAGGCAATTTTATAGTGATGATCAATCTTAAATTACCTGGTCATTATATGTAGTGGGGCAGAACATGAAAAATAACCACAGTGATCTTCTCAGGAAAGAAACGTGTGGCACAGGCTAGGTAGACACAAGTATTGCTATGAGTTAAAAGCAACTTGGCTGTTGTTCATAGGGTTCACCTGTGATGCTTTCAAAGCTTCATGATATGTTCACACCAGCACCAGGCAGATGTGTGTATAGTGCAGGGAAATCGCCATTACCTACCCTGGGTACAGTTTCTCTGGTATACTATGTTGCCATCATTATCTTCCTTCTGGCACTTAGGAAACTGGAGAGCGACAACAAAGGTCACGTTGGATCCTACCAGTGCTGGACTATCAGTATCCAATTTGGCTGTCACCCTTCCTCCTGTAGAAAAGAAAATGGGTCTTCACTGCAGTAAAGGATGCATCAGAGCAGAAGCTACCATCAACTGTGCACTATTTACATGAGAAATGCTTAATTGATTACTCTGCTTCTAAGGGGTTTCATGCTTCTGAGTCACTTGCACTTTTATGAAAACCCCAACTTAAAACAGAGGGACTCATCATATCCCCCCACATCACTTACTGGTCTGCTGTAAATTTCCTTCATAGAGCTAAGAATAGTTTTCTACACACGGGAGTCAATATATTCCAAAGGAGAAAATTTTTGTTTCTCCCCAGAGATGCAGCTCAGGCCAGGTGATAATAAACAGGATCTTTGCCAAAGCTGTCAAACTGAAGCCCATGTGCCCTACTGAGGTAGCAGTTGAAGCTAGCTGTCCTCTAGGGCATGTTTCAGATAATGGACTGTCCTAGAGCCCTTCTTAAAAAGTATTAATGTCTGAGACTAGTAGTCATGGGAAAACATTTTATGTCATAGCTCACTGTTCTGCTTCCTCAGACAACCTACTGGGAATGGTATCAAAGCCAATCGTCTCTAATTTGCTGTTCTCTGCAGCAGTGGATATTGCCCCTATGAAAATGTACTGAAGCACCTGCACCATGCAATGAGGTGGATTTCCTGGCCATTTTTTTAAGTATCTTTGAAATGCATATGTGCAATCACCTTTCCAGCAGTCCTTCCATCTGGGATCTCCTTCTTCCCAGAAAGGATAAAGCTTTTCGTTCCATGTATTTTGATCGCTAGACCAGCCTTGTAGCTTCTTGTAGGATGTGGCAGAAGTGCTTCCATAGCTCAGCACATCTTGAAACCCTAGAGAGAAAACCAAACATGTAATGTAATGCCATTTTCCCTAACACTCTATAAAGATATTGCTCTTGTGCTGAACGGCCTTCTGATTATAATTATATTCTTGTACTGATAGAAAACTTTTCACTAGTAGAAAGTTAGGGAATTTTATCATCTTTGCTATAAACACATCAACTATGATCAACATAAAGACAATTCCACCACTGTCAGACAGATATTTTTTTCCTACTTGCAGTATTACAAGCTTTCCAGAGAAAGAATAAAAAGGTTTGCAACATTTTGACCATATCAGAGTAATTGTTTATGTTAATTGACACAACCCTGCAACAGTCAGGCTGGCTATATAGAGGTTGCTTGATTTCTGACAACCTGCTTGGTAATAAATGTATGAGTAAAAGGCTAACGGCATAAATTCACTCTGTGTCTGAGTTGTGCTCTAGTGTAAGTTATGCCAGGAATTAATTTTGGCTCAGTGAAGCTCCTCTGGTGAGTTGGCTAGTGGTTTGGGTGGGAGGGGTGGAAACAATTATAACAGAAACTGGTATTTCCAGAAAAGGAAATTTAGAGCTGAATAGTAAATTCAATGTGTTTGTAATATAACAACAATAACATATTAGCTTCATGCCTATTACTTAAAAATGGCTCAGATATTAAATAACATCAATAACCTCTTTCTTCTCATATTACTACAAATGATGGGCTCAAACTTTTCCCATGCTTCTGGGATTCCTCTTTCTGTTGCAAAGAACACATAGTGAAAAGCAAAGTAAATATCCGAGTAACCTCTAGGAACACGTCAGCCACTGTAGGATGCCATAAAAATATATGTGCCTATGTAGGTTCATGGGCAGAGTTCCATTAGAGCCTGGAGGCTTTAAAGAACTCTGTCGTGTTAAGCAGGAAAGGTGACTGCTGGGCGTGCCATTCTGTCACAACATCAAGGAAGTTAGGATTTCTGTTTTCCATGGCTTTCTTGTAAAGCTAGCTGATGCAGAATGCTTCTGAGATTTAGATCCAGCGCAATAAAGTTCTCGATGACTTCAAGGGAAATGCAGAGACCTGTAAGAAGGGCAAGAATGGCCCTGCGTGCCATAACCTAACTGCCTGTGTTGGAATTTCTCTGAGCTTTGGAAAAGGCCCAGAGCAGGTGTAGCCAGTTTAAGCATAGTCTTCAGAGGTGTGTGACTCCTAATTTTACTGCAAGGGAGAACCAAAAAAACAGTGCTAAAGAAGAGGCAGGAGCTGCTTTCTCATTATGTTTTATTACCCAGTGAGATTTCTGCTGGGCAGGAAGGACATCCCTCGGCCAGTGCCATCTCAACTCCGAGCTGATGATGGTAGCTCTCTCCCCAGTCTTGAGGACTGAAAGGTTTGAGGAAAAGAACGGATTTTGCACTTAGAAACATAACCTCCCACAGTCTTTTGCCCTACAGGAACTCCCTGCAGTCTCACTTAAATCACTTGAATCAAGTCTTTCCTGCAGATTTAATATATTTTGATGTGAGCTAAGCATAACATCATGACTGGTATTTACTTAATGACCTGTATCACATGATGTATTGTTTTCAGTCTTGGTCAGAAGAAGAGTTTGGTAATGTTGTCCTTCAGAAACTTTGCTCAGGAAAAAAACAGATTAGCAACTGTAAAAGCACTTCAGAAAGGCTTATCAAGTTCAATTACATTTTAGGTCATTAAATTAATGTGTCATCTTATTTGAATTAAATGGCTACACATTTTTCATAGTTTCTTTTTCCCAGTCTCTTTGATTTTATCTAAAAATTATTTAATGAGTAAAAATGTTTTGATTTTCTCAGATCAAAACTTTTCAATCATTGTTTTTTCCCCAAATGCTCAATTCATCAAGAAGATCTGGATCATTTTTAATTTTATAAATGCTTTTAATTTTGAATTTTCAGTAACAATCCTTGAATTCAGAATTCATTTTCTGGGCCAGCTTTGGTAATAACTGTGGTCACTGCTTCTAAATCACAAGCTCCTTAGGCATTTTTTGCCTCCCTGATGTGCTTTGTTTAGTTCAATCGAATATAAAACATTTTACAAGCTTCAGAACAAGACAAAGAGGAAAGCCAGTGCAGAAGCACTGGTTTCTCTAACACATGGAACTGAAGATTTTCAGTTGCTGAATTTGAAGGCAAAAGAAACTTAAATCTATTTCTTCTTTAACAATGAAAACCACTCTAGAACAGATGTTGGTCATAACCAAAATTAGAGCAATTCAGTTTGAAATAGACCGAATAATGTGACACTCAAAGGAGCTGATTACTGTAATAATTTTGGTGAGGTGGTCATAGGAGAAAAGATCTTATACTCCAATTGACTTTCTTATTTCTCATTCTGGTTTTCATTTTGGTGAAAAAAAATGTAGCAAAGATGAGAAGTTCAGTATTTCCTGTGATAGTGTATTAGCCATGAAAGAGAGAACAAAAGCCAGTGTTAGGACAGCAGCAGTAAAAAGATGACTCAGATAGAGAGGATAAAAGTGTATTAGAAGTATAAAGGCTGATGTTTGGCATCAGACAGTAAAGTAAACTTTCTAAAGTTATGTATAGAAACATAATAAAGCAAGATCAAAAAGAATTCGAGGAACAACTTGCAAAAACATAAGAACTACGAATTTTCTCTTTTTTTTCAAATATAAGGGAAGTTGGAAAGCTTGCTGGGAAATCTAGGGCCAAAAGAAGCATTCAGGGAAGATAAAAGGATAGTCAAATACATTGGTTTACATTTTCACAAAGGACATAGGAGGTTTCTGTGCTGGAATTTTTCTTTGCAATGACAGAGAACCTCCCTCAAAACGAAGTGTGGCACAAAAAACCCAATTACAGAAAAAATCAACAAAATTACAGATTTGTCTAGATAGGGTGGCCCAAGTATGGTAGTTATTCAAGAGTGAAATAAATGAGCTATTAACCGTAGCATGTAACATCTTGCTTAACAGTGCTTCAGTGACTGAGAAAAAAAAATTGGCAAATGTGATGACAGTTTTTAAAAACACTTCCAGGGAAGATTTAGAGGATTACAAAATGTTTGAGGCTCAAATTGGAGAAACTGGTAGAAACAGCAGTGAAAAACAGAATTAGCAGACAATGCATTAATATGATATGCCGTAAAAGGAGTGCATTTCTCACAAACATATTCTGAGTTTTGCTGAGAGAAACAGAGAGCATGGGAACAAGGCTGACCTGCCTGCTACTGTCTGCTTGAGTTCCAGAGAGCATTTGATGAGGTCCCTTGCTGAAGGCACATAAAGCAATTAAGTTACTATGGGATAAGAATAAAGGATTTCAGGTGGATAAATGATGGATTAGGATATATGAAACAAAAGTTATAAGTGCCCAGTTTTCGAAATTGTTAAAATAATTTAAAATATTCATAATCTGGAAAACAGGTAAACAGTAAAATTCTTTAATCTGCTGAAGACAGTGCATTAAAGTAATAGAGGGGAGGACTGTGTGAGACTCAATGACTCAAGAATCAAACTGTATGAAAGTCAGCATAGTTAAATGTAACCTTACTTTGAGAATGAGGGGCTCTAAACTAGCTCTAAACTCAGGGATGAGACCTTGTAGCTTTACAGTTTTGAATGCAGTGCTCATTGGTAGTTGAAAAACTAGGAAAAGGCTAGATAAAGAACAAATATGAGCATTACAGCATTGTATACTTCCATGTCTTGAGTACTGCATGCTGCTCTGTTCTCTGTGACTCAAGCAGAGTATAAGAGAACTGAAAAAAAATACAGAGAAAGGTGGTGAGGATGCTACAAAGGGATAGATTTTTTTCCAACTGAGGAACAGCTAAATAGACTATGTCTTGAAGCCTGGAGAAGAGGTGACAGAGGAGAATATAAAAACAGAATCATGAACAGCATAGAGGAAGAAGCTAAGAGTAAAAAGTTAAGGAGAATCAAATGAAATCAGCAGGTTCTAAGTGCATGAAAGATACTTCTTCACGTAAGGCACAGTTAAGGTGTGAAATTTCTTGCAGGCAGGATGTAGTGTGTCCCAAAAATTTACACGGGTTGCAATCAAAATGCAAGTGCATGAACGAATGGAAGAAAGTCTAGTAAAATCTGCTAAATACAATGACTCTGCATCTGACTGAGGCAGTTCTACTCCTGTAAATCATCAGTAGCTGGCAAAGTGGCCTGATTTGCCCAGTTCTACATCCACTGCTATTTCCCATTGGAGGTAAGTACAAGGCTAGATGGATGCTCAGCTTTTAAGGTCTTCAATTTCCATACTGTAGATTCTGGAATTTGAGCAGAAAATCCCATTTCTACATTCCTGGCCCTGAGCTCAGGGAGTCATCCCAATACTGGAGTCAAATTGAGAGTCCAGAAAGAAGCAGATCAGCCCAGTCCCTGCCTATGATGGCTTGCAAATCTAGTTCCTTGACTGGACTACCTGAGGTTGGGGATCCACAGGTCTGGGTATCCCAGTGGGGAGCACTGTCTCTGACCTGGCCTCTCCCAGCTACAGCTGAGCTGAGCAAACTGTGAGAAATCCACCCTGCATCTACCTTTTCAGCCGTGCTTGAGCACAGGAAATATTGTTAGAAATTTGTTGACAAGAGCCAAGGCTTAGCTCCAGTCAGCTCTGTGTACCTGTAGAGCACAGGGAATAGATAACTGAACAGTTCTCACTCTATATTTCTCCAGCTCAGGCACCATTTCTACCCAGAGCCAGGCAACCCTGAGCTGGAGCTAGCTCTCACCTACTGGTGCCCAGGCACAGCTCCAGCAGCCACCACATGTGCAAGGAGCAGCCGTTGTTACTGCACTGGCTTTGGTGGTCGAGCCCACAGAGGCAGGGAGGGAAAGATGACGGGGTGAAGGAAGTACTCACGTGTGGCAGCAGCACACAGCACCGCTTCGGCCAGGAGCAGGAATCCGAGGTGGTGGCGAACACCGCTCATGGTAGAGGAGGCCCTGGGTCAGCTCAGCGCAAGCGGAGGAGCAGCGTGGCCGATGCCTGCGTACGGTAACTCCTCTGGTCTCCACTGCAAAGTGAGAATGAAGTTTCTCCACTGCTCTGCTCTCCGATTAAATGAAGGGCCCCGGGACTCATCATGTGATGGAATTAAGCAGAGATGCATGATTTTGTCTTCAGCTTCTTTCAGCTCATGTGCTTATGACTCACTCCCTTTGCTTTCAGCATTCCCTGGGAATTCTGAGAGACCTGTTTAGAGCCACACCATTTACCTCACAGGCATTTTTATACTGGTTTTGCACTGTGATCAATTTTTGTACTTAATTTGTTTTTAAATTAAGAACATTTATTTCCAGAAATCCAAATTAATTCTTGCCCCAGCCTGATTTGCAAGTGTTACTGCAACAGCTCACTGCATTTGATGAACCCATCGCTTCTGAACCACATGGCTCTCCCCATATGCTGGGCAACAACTGTAAACTAAGTGGAGAACAGCCAATTCAAACACATGCCTTGACTTGGCTCCTGATCAGACTTGATTGTTAAGGAAAACGTTATTTAAACATTTAGTGGGTACATGCATGTCCCATGCAACCATGGTTAGAGGTGCAATCATAACCCTGGTGTGGTGATGGTCAGTCAATATCTGGCTCGCAAGTTGCCATGACCCCACACAGACTTGATTGTATGAACTTTGTGGAGTTTAGAGATAAAGAGAAAATAGATTTTGCTGCCCAACCTAGTAATGAGGTATAACCAATGGCTCAAGAGGAGCAGCATAATACATGCAGATTAGCAAACTCTGCACCTAATGGTTCAGGTTCAGGTTCAATGGGCTTCACCAGCCCAGGTGTTGTTCTGCAGGCAGCGCAGCAGCTGAATTTTGTTGCAGCCCTGGCAGCCCTGTGAAGTTTCTTGCTGTTGTTTGCAGCAAAGAACAAGCTTTGCTGAGACGACATGTCATAGAAGCAAATACAGTCCTCAAGAGAGAATTCAGTAGTAGTTTCAGTGATCCCAAAGTATAGCACTTGTGAGACACTGGCTAGCCAGAAACCACCAAGCTGCGCAACACTAAACCATTTTTATTTTGGGCAGGGAAGGTGGAAATCCATAAGTCCAAGGCACTGTCAACAGAATTAAAAGATTGCCCAATGGAAGGAAGTTTTAGAACTCTGACTACTTATTATTTTTTATTTTTTTGATTTGTTCTTAGTTTCTTCCATTTTTCTAGTGTTTTCTATTAGCTGTGTAAGTTACTATCACTACCCTGAGCACCACAGCCAGCATTTCTCTCAGTAACACAGGCTCTGATGTCCAGTCTTGTTCATCTTGCATATGTAGACTCCATGCTTCAGCACCCTCCTGGCTGGAGCTAACCTTCCTTCTTACTGCAAACCAAGGAGAAGGGTGAAGGCAATAGCCTTAGGGATACCAGGCTTGTTTAAACTAAGCCGTCATTATCTGGCAGAAAGGGAAGAGAGAATAAATCAAAGACAAAGCTGTGACTGACTGTGCAAAAAAATCATATGACTGCAACATCCTCATATGATTGTTGCATTTTTGTTGTTATTCAATCAACTACATCCCAATTGAAATGTCAGGTTTCGAAGCCATTCACAATTATTTTTTAAACCATGTGGGACATTAATTGCACTCCTTTGTTTCCAGGTTGTTAATCCTAGAAGTGAAAAGTGACCTTCAAACACTGTGGTTCAGCACAAGTCTGCTGGGGAGAAGGAGGTTTGAACACTCATTCCCAGGAGGGTTTTGAGAACCTCCAGAGGAAAGCTGCTGACAACAAATGCCTGTTAATTAAAAACAAAAATTTATCAGCCTAAAAACAATAAAGTTGGTTAGGATGGAGTTTTTTGCCATGTTATTTGATACATGAAATTGTTACATAAATTTTGAGTGACAGTCTCAAGTAGGACCAGCTGGTGGAAATTATTAAACATGTTGTAAATAGACTTCAAAGGCACTGAAGATCAGGCCTGTGGTTAGAAGAATCCAAAGCCACCAGGGCTGGGATAATAAGTAAAAGGTGGCTTTACTGTGATGCTGCAGTCCTTCACCTTCTCCCTACTCAGCTCTTGGGCCTTAGACTACACATTCCTGCAGGGCTGAGGTAGAAAATGTTTGGGTCTGCTTGTGCTGTGGCTGCAGCCAACAACATTTATAAGAAAAGAGGAGAGGAGGAAACCATATAAGAAGAGAAGAAAGAGCTAGGAGGAACAGAGGTGTAAAAGAAGTGAAAATAAGAATAAAAAGCCAAGGAAAAGTATGATAAATGAAGGCTGAAGAGACCACTTGCAAACTGAACTGACTTCTCCAAATGTCCCAGCCATAACTGACTGTGTCTGAAAATGAGCCTATCTGAAACACTGAAAAGTTGTTTGAAACTGGTGGAACATCACCAGATCTTAAATTAACCTTATACTTTTTACATTATTATTCTTGGTCTCTGAGAAACAGATTTGCAATTTAAACAACTGAATTGAATTGCGCAACTACAAAGGAGAAAAGGTTTAAAATATACCCTAAACATTCTCCTAGCAAAGAAACACACATTCAGGGAGATTTAGGGCTTCATCTGACAAAGAAGTGCGTGGGCAGGAAGTGCTTGGTATCTCACAGCTTTAGTGCCTCAGTTATTAAATCTCATTGAGGAGATACACATCTCTGCTACCTGAAGGCCTGTCAGATGACAGGGTGTGAACACAGCATATGTACCTGCATGTCCAGACTGACAGAGCTGGCATGCTCACACTGCTATCACACTGCCATCAATGCAACATGAATACAGGAATTGTTAATCACTGCTCACTAGAACTTAAAAAAAAAGGAAAAAAAATGGAAAGGAAAAAAAGAAGAAGAGAGGAAAAAAAAAAAAGAAGGGATTTGAAGAATGAACTTGGCTTTTAGCCAAGATAGCAAAGGAAAATGAGACAATCTTGTTTTGGCAACCAGGTATGTTTAGGTAAATGCTGTCTGCCATTACCAGTGTTCTTTCAAGGGAACTCTGCTTAAGGCTGGACAAACTCCCTTTCTGGGAAGAAATCATCTGTGTCTCACTTCACATGGGACAATGGCCATCAGCTGACTGAACTGAACATGTAAACAAAGCTGCCTCACCAGTCTGCAGTTCTTGTTGTACCGGAAAAAAACCCTCCTGATCAGCTTGTGGTATCATCAGTCTCAGTTTATCACTAAAAAATGCATTAACCCTTGCTACTGATCAAAGAGGCTTTTAGTAATTCTAGTACCTTTATTTTTTGCTTTTGTAGTAGCTAAAGCTGTGCATTTTACCATTTTTTATGGGAAGGTATTTCCTTGCAGTCATACATTTCTCCGAATTCCTGTGTTGGAATTGGTCATAGAATCATAGGATCATAGAATTTTTAGGTTGGAATAGACCTGTAAAATCATTGAGTCCAACCATCAACTCAGCACTACCAAGTCCACCATGTCCCCAAGTGCCACATCTACATGTCTTTTAAATTTCTCCCAGAACGGTGACTTGATCACTTCCCTAGGCAGCCTGTTCCAATGCTTGACAACCCTTTCTGTGTAGAAATTTTTCCTAATATCCAATCTAAAATTGTTTGCAATCTAAAGATCTTTTCCAAACTTGGCGTTTGGTGACAGTACAGGAACACAGAATGACCACAGCGTGTCTGAGGAAGCTGGGGTTGTTTAGCCTGGAGAAAAGGAGGCCCGGGGGTGACTTTATCACTCTCTACAACTACTTGAAAGGAGGTTGTAGCGAGGTGAGGATCAGTCTCTTCTTCCAGGTAACAACCAACTGGATAAGAAGAAATGGGCTTAAGAGGCACCAGGGGAGGTTTAGATTTTTTTGTGATACAAGTTATTTTTGGCCTGACTTCCTCTTAAGGGAAGGCTCGAATGAGCATGCCAGCTCTCTGCTTTTTTGGGGGAGTCTCTCACTGGTCCCTCCCTACAAATGCTAAACTCCCTGCTTAGTCATAGCCATGTGTGTGACAGTGCCCCAAAATGCTTCATGAAAGTACCTCGTGGGGAAGACAGAGGAATCCAAGAAAACATCTGCAGAATTCGACATCAGCAAATTCCCACAAGAGCTCAGCCTTGAGATTCAGACCCACAGAGTGCCCCAGTCCACTCATCCTGCACAGGTGGACTTGGCTTCCTTGCTCATGGAAGTGCTAATTCGTGCAGATGACCAGCAGCTGAGGACAAAACACGAGAACAGATACTGACCCTCAGACTGCACCACACACTTTTTTTTTAAAGGTGTGTAAAAAAGCAAGTTTGTTCAGTATCTCTAGGTAGGCTGGTTGGGTTTTTTTTAACTATGATGACAGTGAAGGAGGAGATGTAGCTATCCTGATAATCCCAGTGCTCTGTGGTGGTAGCCCGCAGTCTTCCAAAGCCTCTGTAAGCTTCTGGCTTGCTCCATGTGCAACTCAGCCGACCCACTTTCAGTGTTACAGCTGTCACAGTTAAATTACAGTCTGAACATTGGTTTTACTCTACTACTTTTCTCATATTGATTTAATGAATTGTTAATGATGTGGTTTAGAGTCACCATGATTCATCAAGACACAGACCTCTTCCAATCAGGAGAGCAGATAATGCTGTGAAGGTACATGATTATTGCAGCATGAGACCCATATTTTGCATCATATTATTATGAAATCAATTTGGGCCTCCCTGTTGCCCAGAGGTATTAAAGATAGATTTTGGTATCATTCAGCTCAAGAGAGAAATCAAATTTTTGCTGAAAAGTTTGTTTTCTCTAAAGATATCTAAAGATATTCGTTGATATTTTGGCTAGGAAAAGAAGAAAAAGTTCTTCAAAAAAAGCGATCCAGAAACAATAAAATCAGTAAACCTCAAACAAAAAGGTGACCTGTCAAAGTGAATATAGTTAAGAAGAACATCTGAACATCTGCTATGTAGTTACTTCGGTGAGAGGACACCGAAGGAGAAGTAGTCTCACAGGTAAAGCTCCTTTAAAACTTTTCTAAGAAACAAGGTAAACTGAATGTACTCAATTGTACCTTATTACCCTGTATATGCTATGTTTCACTTATTATGGGCTATGGTTAAGAGTTCACCACACAAGCTCAGTTGTTTTATGGTTCAGTGAAATTGCCTTGACTGCTTAAAATTAACCTCCACATTTCCCTGAAATAGGACTCAAAATTAATGAAAAAGCTGGCAGCTGAACTTCAGCATAACGTACTCTTTAATGTGTTAACATCAAAAAAGTGGGCAAAATGCTGCATTTTTGCACTGTATTCCCACTGACTCATGGCAGTAATTCAGAGAGTAGTCTCTTCCATAGAGGTTGGGCCCAGCAGTGAATATACAGGCAATAGAGACAGGAGAAAAAAGATTATTATATTACATAGCAACCAGCTTTCTATTTAGAAGCCCAATTTAGATAGTAACATTTATGGCATAAAAGGAAGGCAAAATCTGGGCTAGTGGAGCTATTGTGCTCCTAGTGGTATGCTGGTGTCACCCTAGAATTTAAATCCACCTGGATCCACCTTCTGTGGCTGACAGCATTGAGGAAGACTCATTTGAAGGCCTAGAGGGAAACAGAAGGAAAAAGGTCATATGGGGTTTGGTTTGGGTTGCCAAGCAGGCAAGTTTGCCTGCTGCCACTTGCACAGACTGGTCATGGCTTTCTGGGGCTGTGGGTTAACAAGTGAGGCACTGGAGGAACAGTCTGGCTGTGCTGTAACTTGCCCATTCCCACACATCCATCACCACATCGACTCATCTTTGGCTGCTGCAGAGTGACAGGTGGCAGGATCAGGCCCTGATGTCACAATACAGCACTGGCAGGGCAGAGGAGGACACTGAAGCTGGTAATGCAGCTGTGCAGCCCCCAAATCAGCATTTTGGCAGGGTTACTGCCCTGGCCCATGGCTGCAGGGACTCCTGCTTGTGGAAACTTCAACAGGAACTGCTGTTTCACTGGGACAAAAGTATATTTTTAATGTCCTTATCCCAAAGGCATTACATAATAATCTTTAACAGTTCTGATCACATGTGGGCAAGGAAATACATTAAATATATAAGAGTTAGTCTTCTGAATTCATCTTAAATACCAATATCCTCTATTTATATGATAGGAGCAGTAAATTTGCACTGATTCTGTTCTCAATCTACACAGGAATATGGTTATTTTATTTCAGCTTTCTTTGCCAATACTGGGAAATCTAACACAGCTTTACTGTGTGAGAACCAAAAAAATTGATTTAATACAGTAGCCTACTTGCAATCCTGGGCTTAAGTGAAATACTGAGGGTAAAATCTGTCTAGCGTGTGTCTAGCACTGATCACCAGATCTATGAGCTCTGCACGAGAAATACTATATAACATGACAAGAATCATTACAGAAAATGTGTGTGCACCATGTAATAGAAATATTTGCTTCTTAGATCTATAATTTAAACTATGTCCCCTAAAAGAGCAAAATAGCTTAACAAATCTTCCCTCAGCCACACTGCTTAATTGCAGCTGGTTTCTCAGAGCACTACTGTACCCAGTGGCCTGGGAGGAAGAGAAAGCTCTTTCGTGCCTAATATAAGAGGTTTCACTGCAAATGATTCAGACTGCAAAAGGTTCAGTTCTGCTGTACATGGAAAGAAGTCGAACAGTTATTAAAAAAAAATTAGATCCAATGTGTGGTAGTTGACATTCTTCTCAGTAAGGAATATTATATCCAATCTGAACAGTCTGAATTTAATCCTGTACCGTAAGTATCTGACATCAAAGTATAAAAAATGGAATAGTCCTGCAGAAAAACTAAATAAATGAGAAGTGTAAGTGAAGAGGAGAAAAATTTTACATTTACATTAAGATTTTACATTTAAACCTCTATAAATTTACATTGATTTTTCATCCTGCAGTTGTGGTGAGTGGTGTTCAAATTAAGGCAAAATAATATGTTTTTATAAAATAAGAACAAAATGATGAAATGAAAATAGATATAATTTGATCTTTTAGTTCCCAATTGTTTGCTACATTTCAGAAAATCTAGTTCTTCTGTTCTTACAAAATACAAAATAACTTTTGAATACAAAACTGGTTATTGAATGGTGTGTTGTAGAATGAAAAATAAAAACATAAGAAAAGTCAGTATTTGCTAAGACATAGAGGCCAAGGAAACCCAAGCTGCAAATAATTCTTCAGTGAGCAATTTTCTTAACAGTAGAATTTCCATGGATATTCTGATAACAAATAAAAACTACAATATATGGGTGCTGAGGGCAGATTAATTACTAATAAATGTCCATGTACTTGAACTTTATTCAAATTGAGGAGTTTAATCAAGACATTGATGAAAGTAAGGAAATGTAGTTTATAGCCCAAACAGCTATATTTGTTTTATTTAGAATATAATGGGAAGTCAGATCTTCTTTACCTTGCCATGCTGTTTTTTGTCTGGGATGAAATTCAAAAGTCTAAAACTGGGAGCAAATGATTAAACTGTTTACCTATTTTGACAGCTTAATTACTGGATTTCACCCAGATACACACTTAATGTTCTCTTCCCCTTCTGTGCCCGAATACTTTTACTTTGAACATAAAGATGTTTACATTTTTAGGCAGAAGTAATCTTCTGAGTAGCAAAACTCAGCTGGAGGTCACTGATCAGCAAAAATGAGCCTCCCAGTGAAAATGCCAATTGATGCCTTTGCTGTGATGGTGTTGCTGCTTGGCAGCGGAGTGAGAAGTGGCTTGGCAGTGCTGGGTTAAACACTGGTCTTGATGATCTCAAAGGTGTTTTCCAAGCTAATTGGTTCCATGGTTCTACAAGTAGAGAGCATTGCTGAGGCATCATGTCACAGGGCTGGAACACTGTCAGCAGCAGCCTCTCTTCAGATCAGTATTTTGCATTGGTTTCCACCAGTTCCTCAGAAGAAATTCAGCTCTGGGTTCTGGTAGATGTCTTTACCTGATAAGACGTCTCAAAATTTTCTCATAGAACCACAGATGAACATTTGTTAGCAAGCTTCAGCATGGTGTGTTCATGCGGATGGAAATTAAAAGCTCCAGAAAATACAATCTCATGGAAATCTTTGCTCACATTACAAAACCTGACTCTTATCACAACTGTGTACTGAAAGCAGAGGGACTTGCAAAATCTGTCTTTTATTGATCTACAATGTGTTTTATAGTTTTAATTCCTATAGTATTTGAATGCTTTTCATGTGTTTTCGCATTACACAGAACTCTCTCACAGAATGTATTTGTAATAGATACTATTTTTAAATTGAAAAAAAAAAGTTTCCAGTTATTTACAACAGAAGAAAGAAGATTTCCTGCTGGGTGGGGACCAACCAAATCATCCAGAGCTTTGAGATGGCTTCTCCTTAAAACAAGCATCTGTGATAAACAAGAAAGGCTTTGGTTCTTAAGAGCTATTTCTGGTTGGAACATAAATGGGAACTATTTACTATTTAAATAAGAGCAAATATAGACTAAGACAAAGCAGGCAATTTAAAAGAGACTCTATCCCTACTCATTGCATTCTTGTTGAACGGGTTCTTTTGCTATGTCTCACTTTAGGGCCATTTAAATGGCTGTAAGGGCCATAGTAATGTCTGTAAGGGTCTGTTTCCCACTAGTGACCTTTGGTTAAGTTCCTTTCCTAATCCCAACTCTCTTTTTGTTTTAGAAGTCAGTCCTCTAATGCTTTTGCAGAAGGTTTTGTGGAGAAAGTGATGGACACATTTTTTGCTAGTAATAATTTACAGAAATAGTACTGAGAGCAGGCAGATACATCTTCAAGATACATCACAATCTTTAAGCAGAGATTTTAAATTCAGTTAAAAAATTACTAGCCTGGGTGATTATAAAGAACAATCTGGGAGACCAGAAGGGTATTTAATGCTATTTCTTATGTACCTGCAAACCACTGAAAGGAAGCAATTTTGTACCAGTATATGTAACCTTTCATTTACCTTTACAGTCTCCAAATAAGCATGTATTAATTTAAATTCTAATAGCCTACAGCAGGTTTTCAAATTGAATAGGGTGAGAAATTTTAAAAGGTCATAGGAATAAAGACAAGACTTATCTGGTTAGCTAAAAGGGTTCCTTTGATGTTTATATCTTCCCAAGTTTCACTGCAATTAAGAACTGGCAAAACAGACTTGCAAATAGAACCACTTAGTGTTAGTACCACAGCAGTATTTAGCAGGCATAATCAACTATCACTGCTTTGTGCTAAGCATTTCATGACCATATAATGATCAGCCAGGTAGCCAGGCACCAGCATTGCTGGAGTGTTTTCATGTGCTCTTGTGATTCTACAGTATGGCCTTGGCTCAGCCAGTCTTCTACCGAGCCAGCTTTGGTGCCCTGGAAAACACAATCCTACTTAGTACTTGCCTATTATCTATACAATTCATTAATTGTAAGCAAAGATTGCTCTTGTATTAACTCAGGCTCTTGTGGTAGCCATAGGGCCAGCAGGTAATCTCTGGTGGCTGCCAGTTTGGCCAATACAAATAACAGCAGTTAGGAGGCAGGAAGAGTGTGGCAGCAGAGAATAAGAAACATAGTTACACCTTTTTTTTGTGTGATCGGAGTAACACTTTGGTGATCCAGGACACAAATCTCGGAGACACCTACGTGCCACAGAGAGGAGACTTGTGCAGAAGGAATCACAGACAGATGATCAGGCAGTATAATCAAAACCATGGGGGTTTTTTTAGGAAACCTGTTAAAATTGAGTGGTTTGAATATAAACTGGAAACATCACCCATTGGACCTCAGCAGTTTTCTAACTCCTGTGCACTACATCAGAAACTCAAATTGGTATTTGGGAGTCCTGCTTACATAGGGAAATTTTTAGATGGCTAACAGCCAGCATCACAGCCCTGGGGCATCTTTTCTAGAGATGTGTCCACACTGAAGGTCTGTAAGAGCTGAGCAGGGCATGTAAGATGCACAGCGTGCACTGGGGCTTCATGGTTTTTGAGTCCCTTGGCTGACCTCCAGGGATGTGTGAATCATCAGGCTCAGTGTCAGAGGTGGGAATTCTGTAAAATGCAATTTATTTCCTCTTCCTGTACGTCAAGTACTGCAATATATACAGACTCCTAAGTAAATGATTTTGGATACATAGCTATAAATTACAGCCACACACAATCCAACAGTTTTAAAACAACAAAAAAACACCACATATTGTTCTCATGTACTCTTTAGTTGCTTTATAGGACTCCCTCTGTTCGTGACTGTTTCTGTTATTGTTGGAAGAATAAATCTTCTCAAAGTAGATCGTCGTAAGGATGGAATCTGTCCAGTGACCACTTAAGTAGAAGTTTGCTGCCAGAACCAGTTTATTTCAGCTGTGATCATGAAGCGTCTTACATGCATTTATTTGTTTGTTCTCCAGTAGTATCTTTAATATTGAGACACTCTACTAATTTCTTTAATGTTTTCCAGTATTTTTCCAAATGGAAGTAGATAAAGACATAAGAAAAGGGTTTTTTTCAGCACAGATAGGACAGCCTTATATGTCATCAGGTGTCAAACATACCTTGGTTACCTCAGTACGGACTTATTATCAGCACCCAGATGTATTTCCTTCTGCAAGAACTGACTTACACTGCTTGTGCTCTTTGATATTCATTGCTCTGTAGTTTTGCTATGAAAAGAAGGATGGACTTGTGATTCAAGCATATAAGCAA